TCTGCATAAAGGCAATGGGTGTGCCAAGCCTCCGCCCATTTCTCCCGGGCCATTCTGTTGAGTTGTGGGTTGCGCGACCTTAAGCTGGTTGCGCTTAACTCTCATCGCCCCTTGTAGCAGGAGCTGTGATAAGGCCTCATTAGGACACCCTTATTGGACACCATCCAATGACCCGTGACAACTGTCACGCTCCAGTGGCCGAAAGTGTGGTCTCAGAAGGGAAGAAATTCACGACTGCTCATTGCTTAGTGGAAATTATTATTATTATCATTATTGTTATTATTATTGTTTTTGCTGGTTTTGGTCACACCCAGGGATGCTCAGGGGTTACTTCCGGCTCTGCACTCAGGAGTTACTCTTGACAGTGTTCAGGGGACCATATGGGATGCCAGGGACTGAGCCCAGGTCGGCCGCGTGCAAGGCAAATGCCCTACCCGCTGTACTATCTTTCCAGCCCCAGAAATATTAATAATAAGTAAAGTCAGGTCATGCTGGTCCATATAAAGGGAATAAAAAGACGGTTGTATTCTCTGTTCTGAGAAGAGAAAGGCACCTGCGGATCCCGAAAGAGCGAGTGATCCCATTGATCCCTGCCCTGGAGAGCGGAAGCAGGCTGTGATTTCATGTAAAGAGTGATCTGGGAGGTGGGGGTGGAGGACAGTGTTTACCCCATTTTTGGTGTCAGGGAGCAAAGCTGAGGCCTTGGGCACGCCAGGCGTGGTATCGCCTCTGAGCCACGTTACCTCTGGGATGCTGGTCTTCCCCAGCTTACATCAGACACTTTCCAGAGGGCTCAAGGTATTAACGGTTTTTTTTGGGGGGGTCACACCCAGCGATGCTCAGGGGTTACTCCTGGCTCTGCACTCAGGAATTACTCCTGGCAGTGCTCAGGGGACCCTATGGGACACTGGGAATCAAACCTGGGTTGGCCATGTGCAAGGCGAGCACCCTACCCGCTGTGCTATTGTCCCAGCCCCCGTGTTTCGAATGAAGGTATTAAAGTCTGGTAAGAAAGCATGAGGGTTAGTTAAGATACTCTTAGGATGTCCAACTGGTAATTTCAAGGAAGTGTATCACCAGTTGGAAACAAACCCTGGAGATAAGAACTACATAGCTTTTGCTTGGTTTTGGTTTGGGGTCACACTCGGTTCTCAGGAATCACTCCTGGAGGTGCTCACGGGACGGTTTGGGATGCTGGGGATTGAAACTGATCAGCCCCATGCCAGGCAGGCGTCTGGCTAGCTGTACGACCTCTTCGTCTGTCCCAGAGAGCTTCTGTCACTGTCACTGTCACTGTCCTCCCATTGTTCATCTATTTGCTCGAACGGGCCCAGTAACATTGTGAGACATTGTGAGACTTGTTACTGTGTTTGGCATATTGAATACGTCACGGGGAGCTTGCCAGGCTTTGCCATGCGGGCAAGATACTCTCGGTAGCTTGCCGGGCTCTCCAAGAGGGGCAGAGGAATCGAACTCAGGTCGGCCATGTCGGCTGCGTGCTGCGGTGCTATTGTTCCAGCCGCAGAGAACTCTATCTTTTTTTTTTTTTTAGTAGGACCCAGAGTCATAACAGTAGAGAACTTTAAAATTAATTTCTGTGTTTGAAAGTACGTAAAGTGGGGCTAGGAGATAACTCAAAGGGGTGCAGGGCATGCTTTGTACGTGAGAGCCCCAGGTTCGATCCCCAGCACCTATCACCTGGTAGCCCAAGCACCAAAGCACCCAGCAGGGAGTAACCCTACCCCCCACCACTGCCATATGGCTTATCTCCCCTCCTCCCTACAAAGAAAGTCACATCAAGCTTAAATTTGCAGCAGGTAGACTGTTCTTTTAATATTTAAAGATGATCTAGGAAAACCAAGACGGGCTCGGACCGTTAGACTAGAGCAGAGACTTAGAGCATCCGCATGGTGAAAAAGAACGTCTGCTTTGTGAACATATGGTCAAGAGTTCAATCCCCAGCGCCCCCACATGCGCCAGCTGTGGTCTTTCCAGCTCTGCTGCCTGAGCTCCCCAGTGCTATGAGCGGTGTCCAGCTGAACCACAGTCCAGTGTGTGTGGCGCCACCCCTAGCGGGCACCACAGCAAAGAGGATGTGCCCGCTGCATGGCTGGGAGGTGGGAGTGACTTGTGAGCACCAAGGCCGCCCTGGCGAACACCACCACTGTAACACGCGCTCAGCTCCGAGTGTGCCGCCTGGCGAGCACGTGTGGACCTATGTGTGTACCGCGGCCAAGTGTGGGAACACAGGAATCGGAGTTATCACCCCCAGGGTTCCCAGCACTGGAGCTGGAGGTGCATGAGACCCCTCAGTCGGCCCCCAGTGCCGTCTGCAACCATGAGGGGAAGAGGGAGAAACTGAAAAGGAAGGACATTGTTTTTATTTATTTTAATTTTTTTTTCTTTTTGGGTCACGCCCAGCGATGCTCAGAGGTTACTCCTGGCTCATGCACTCAGGAATTACTCCTGGTTGTGCTTCAGGGACCATCTGGGATGCTGGGAATCAAACCCGGGTCAGCCACGTGCAAGGCAAACGCCCTACCCGCTATGCTATCACTCCAGCCCCTGATTAATTTTTTTTCCCTTTTTTTTGGAGGGGGGAGTCACACCTGGAGATGCAAGGGGGTTACTCCTGGCTCTGCACTCAGGAGTTACTCCTGGCGGTGCTCAGGGGACCATATGGGATGCTGGGAATCGAACAGGGTCGGCCGCGTGCAAGGCAAACTCCCTACCCACTATGCTATCTCTCCAGCCCCCTGATTAATTTTTTTAATTAAAATTTTTTTGTTGGTGTTTTTGTTTCAGGACCACACCTGAAACAAGGCTTTTCAGGGCTCAAGGCTTTCTCCTGGCTCTGCACTGTGGCGGGTTTGGGGGGGCCACATGGGATGCCGGGGATCTTACCCCAGTCGCCTGCGTGCCAGGCAGCCACTCAAAAACTCAGCCTGCTCTACTATCTCTCCCGCCCCTTAGAAAAAACTTTTTTTTCCTTTTTTAAAGAAAGATGGGCTTAATGCCCAGGAGGGAACCTTGGATGGCTTTCACTTCATTTTAGTTTTATCTTCTCGGGGACCTCCCAAGCAGTTCTCAGGCGGCCCCGGGCCACTCCCAGTTGTCTTGGCCAAGCAGGCCAGATGGCCCTGCCTGGACCCAGGACTTGGTGCTCAGGGCTCTCCACCATGCCTCCCTGTGGTGCCAGAGAAGGGCGTGTCCCGGGGACCGAGCGCTCTCTGGCCCTTAAGCGGCTTTCAAAGGAAACACGTTGAGCGTTACTGGCGTGCTCCGGTCAAAGCAGAATCAAGACGCCGTGCTGACTCCCGTGGGCTCCTGGGCTGGTGCGAAGAATGTGCGCCCGTCCACACCGAAGGGAGGTCGAAGGTCAAGTGCCACAGCCCCTTGGTGCAACCAGGGGCCCCGACAAGCACACAGCCCCGGTGGTGACTGGAATAGGGTTCTGTGATTAATATTTGTAGCACTAAAAGCTTTTGCATTACTCCAGGGTGCAATAAACTGCTGGGACATAAAAGGAGCTTTCTGCCTAGCGGCTAACAAAATATAGGTTAAGAGGCTGGAGCGATGGGGGAGGGTGGCCCCCTTGCCTCGCATACCCAGGGTCTATCCCAACATACCCTGAGCACTGCCAGGAGTGAGCCCTGAGCACAGAGGCAGGAGTAGGCTGGAGCACCACAGAATGTGGTTCCCAAAGCAAAAAAAAAAGAAGAAGAAGAAAATTAGTAATTGTAAAAATAATATTAAAGCCACGCCAGCTTACGTGGGTGTGGAAGTAGATTATGGTGTTAAGAAAAAGCTGCGCGGAGTGATGGTCTATAGATATATGTGGAAGGGGGAAAAGAGGATTTATGAGTGTTTGTTGGTATTCTAGTTAGGCTGGAATATGCCAGAATGGCCCCGGAAGCTAGCACCAGGGCAGGGAGCAGAATGGCCAAGCGGTACAGGGCCTCTGCAGCAACTCCGCTTTCTCTGTGCGCTCTGACCTTGTGAGTTTGTGTCGCTGGCTTGTGTGTGACATTCGTGCATTCACGCACACACCTGACAGAGCCCTGTGCTGCTTTGCTGTGTCTAGCACTGGGCCTGGTGCTGACGATACAGGTGGCGGGGTTCTGAGGGGGGCTGAACCCCAGCCTGCGGGGCGGATGCTGGGGTGAATGTTCCTAGTGGGGGTCGGGGGTCTCAGAGGCAGTGACAGCTTAGTGGGGACTGGGAGGAAGTTAGAGCAGCAGGCTCTTAGATGTGGGAGAGGAAGGGTCCGAGGGTTTGGGGGGGACTTGCAGGGCCAGAGCCGTGGGGAACACGGGCTTGCATGGCCGGGGGGACCTCGGGGCTGCTGGCAGGGGACAGGGACGAAGGCTGGCCGAGGTGCAGAGCCCGCGTTGGGGTTGGGGGAGGAGGGGGTTGGAGCTGCTCGCTGGAATGCTGGCTGCCGAGAAGAGGGCTCTGCAGGAGGGTAACGGGGACCACTTTCAGAAACGAAGTTGTGTACGTTTGGGCCATAGCGGGTAGCACAGCGGGGAGGGCGTTGGCCTTGTATGCAACCGACCTGGGTTCGATCCCCGGTATCCCATATGGTCCCCCAAGCACCACCAGGAGTGACCCCCCGAGCATTGCTAGGTGTGGCCCCAAAACTAAAATAAATAAATAAATAATAAACTGGGTGGGTGGGTGGTGGGAGAAATTGTTTTAAGTTTTCCAACAGCCCCAGTGAAGAATCCGTCTTAACGATCCCTTGCAGTTAGGTCATGTCATTTGAAATCAGTGGGAATCAGCTGGATAGTTTTTTGCTTGTTTGTTTTTGGACCATATCTGGTGATGCTCAGGGGTTCTTCTGGCTCTGCACTCAGGAATCACTCCTAGCAGTGCTCAGGGGACCATATGGGATGTCGGGGATCGAACCCGGGGTCAGCTGCGCACAAGGCAAGCACCTTCCCCCACTGTACTGGCCCCCAATGAATCGACTATTTTGAAATTTTCTTTATTTGTAGGTCACACCTGGCGGTGCTCAGGGCTTCCTCCTGGCTCTGTGCTCAGGGATCACTCCTAGTGGTGCTTGGGAGACCAGAGACGGTACCAGGGATCCAACCAGAGCCGGCCACATGCAAGGCAAGCGCCTTACCCACTGTGCTACCTCCCCGGCCCCCAGGCTCTACTTTACAGATTTGGCCGACAAGACGTGGAGGGAAGGGAGACCTGTAGGGCTTTGACCCACCGCCACCCGCCACCCCCCCCGCCTCCCCGCACCTCTGTGAGCGCGGCAGGTCCTGTACCACTCACGCACGTGCTCAGCCAGACAGCATCTGTGAACTACTGGGAAAGGAGGACTCGGTGGTATTTTTTCTCGTGGTATTCTTTTGGTCTGCACCGTTGAGGATGGAGCTGCCCGTGCTGAGATGAAGAGAGGGGTGTAGGGACGGAGGTTACTGGGTGGACGAGAAAGGCCTGGAATTATGCCCTGGAGTTGCCCAGCACTCCAGGGGGCCGAGAGAGATGGCAGCGGTTAGCGAGTCCCACCTTTAGTCCAGAGAAACATGCCCGGTGCCCGCAGATCACGGCCTTGAGGAGAGCTGGCAGAGAAAGAGGTGGAGGACAATCCTCGGGGCTCTGGAAAATGTTCGTTTTGTTTGGGGTCAGACCTGTCAATGCCCAGGGATCACTCCTGGCTCTGCACCTGGGGATCACTCCTGGCAGAGCTCCAGGGACCGTATGGGATGCCAGGGATCAAACCCAGGTCGGCTGTGTGTGCAAGGCAAGTGCCCTCCCTGCCGTCCTGTCCCCGCAGCCCCAGATTCTTTTGCTTGTTTTGCTTTTGGGCCACACCCTGCAACGCTCAGGAGCTACTCCTGGCTCTGAGCTCAGGACTCACTCCGATCAGACAGCCTTGCGCAAGGCAAGCAAGGCAAACACCCCACCCACTGTACTGTCTCCCGGCCCCTTGGAACATTCTTTTTCTTCTCACACCTGGCGGTGCTCAGGGGTTACTCCTGGCTCTTCACTCAGGGATCACTCCTGGCGGTGCTTGGGGGACCATCTGGGATGCCTGGGATGGAACTGGGATCAGCCTGGTGCAAGGCCAATGAGTGCCCTACCCACTGTACTATCTCTTTGGCCCCCTGGAGCATTCTTACAGAGGAGGCGTCAGTCGCTTAGACCCAAAAGAGAATGTCGGGTTGAAGGTCAGTGAGAGTGTCCCCAAAGAAGGCGGGATCCAGAAAGTACCAAGTGCAGCTGAATGGTCCCAGGAGTTGAGGGCTGAGAATTGACCCAGGAATTGTGCTCCTGGGAAATCGCACCTTGAGAAGAGCTCCGAGCTCGCTCTGGGAAGTCGTGGGGGCAGGAGGACGCGGGTCCGAGTAAGTTCAAGAAAAACCCTGGGGAAGTGGAGTCCGACCTCGCTGGCAGGTATCACCCGCTCTGCTGTAGCAGGGAACAGCTGTGAACCAAGAGTCAGAGGACGGTGCGCAGTGAAGCCCAGTTTCTGTGATCAGAATGGAAGAGAGGATACTTGTTTGTGTATGGAGAGGAGAGAAGGGGCGCGGCCCGCCAGTTGCAGGGAAGCAGCTGGGATTTTCATGGAGTTCCTGCTTCCCGCAGGGCCGGGGTCATGGCCCGTTGGTACAGCACCTGCCTCACATTTGTGAGCTTTTGGGTTCCATTCCTTGGCACTACACATCACACACAAACACACAGAAGGTCCTAAGTTCTTTTCTGTGCATGTGTGCGCACACACACACACACAAACACACAACAGATATTGGGTTTCATCCCTGGCACCACACACACATACACACAGAAGCCCTGGGGCCCATCCCTGGCACCACACAGACAGATCTTAGGTTCCGTTCCTTGGCATCACACACAAACACACACAAGTTCCATTGCCCATTGCACACACATACATAAAAACACACACACAGATCCTAGGTTCCATTTCTTGGCACCAAACATCACACACAAACACACAGCAGGCACCACACACACACGCACACACACACACACACACACACACACACACACCCCTTCTATGGAGCTTGAGGGAGATGAATGGGCAGAGGGAGAGAATGGCGGCCAGCATAGTGAGGTGTCAGACGCCTCTCAAGTGCATTCCCACTCAGGAAAGGGAGGGAGGGAGAAAAGCCGTGACCCCCTTCCAGAGGCAGGATGCTGAGGGAGGCTGAGGAGCACCTCAGAAGGGCGGGCGCTTAGAGGAAGAGGCTGAGTGGTCTCTGCGCTCCTGTCTCCCAGGGGGCTTCAACACTGAAGGCCACTCATATAGGTGGCCCTCTGTCAGTTTTAGGTTGCATTGACTTACTGTCTCTTTTGATTTTAATTGCTGTGGAGACTCTGCAGTGCTGGGGGCCACCCCCTGCACCCCGAGTTCCACCCTCTAACCGTGAGGGTCTCTGTTCTCATCGAAGAAAAGAACGGGGAGGAACTGAGGGTTGCTGGGAGGAGTTAGGGAGTTGACAGCAGTTCAGAAAACCGTTGCTTTGCTCTGGGTTTGGGTGTGACCTCTGGGTTCTCCTCCTTGGGGATTTCCGGGATTGAAATCAGCTCCCGACCCTGGTCCCAGAGTCCGGCCTCAGAGACAAAGTGGCATCATACTTTGTCGCATTTTCAGCACATTACTTGGAGTGTGACTGTTTAAGTGTTGTCCCGTAAAGCCTTTCTGATGGGAGCTTGAGCAATAGGACAGTGGACAGGGCTCTTGCCTTGCATGTAGCCCTCTGGGCTCAATCTCCAACACCCCATATGGTCCCCTGAGCCCTGCTAGGAATGAACCCTGAGCACAGACCAAGAGTCAGCCCTGAGCACTGCCAACTATGGCCCCCAAACAAACCAAACCAACAAGACCTTCTGATTGGTTCAGCGTGTGTGTGTGTGTGTGTGTGTGTGTGTGTGTGTGTGTGTGTGTTTGAGAGACCTGTGTGATGCCAGGGTTTGAACCTGGGCCTCCTGCACGCCAAGCATGTTTACCTGAGCTTAGCCCATCAAACTCCCTCTACGGCCCTCAGATGTATATTTTTTTCCATTTCTTTGTTTCCAGGATGATAATAAAGCTCTGTACAGCTCAACTCTGATAGCGCGCGCACGCGCGCGCACACACACACACACACACACACACACACACACACACACTCTCTGGCATCCCAGCCTTTACTGTGAGCAAGGTGGAACCATTTGTTTCCTCAGGTTCCGCACCGTGGATTACGGGCTCACCCCGGCGGGCCTGAAACTTGCCCCCGTAACCAGATGTTCCCTTGTGTCTTTGCAGGTAACATTTCCTTTGTTGCGTTTCCAGTTTCCAGTACCAATTCACCAACAAAGATTTTACCCAAAACCTTAGGACCAATCAATGTGAATGTTGGACCCCAAATGGTAAGAACTTCGTCCCGTTTTAGATTCCGAGGCTTCGCTTAGACCAAAGGCGTGTGCTCAAACGTGCTACTCCATTTCTCTCAGGCACTTCCTGCCTTTATTTTTTTGTTTTCTGGTACCGGGGATGGAACCCAGGGCTTCACCCATGTAAGGCCATCGCTCTCCTGTAGGATTATCTCCTTGCTTTGTCGTAGGCACTTCCTGGAAAAAACTATTTTTTAATTTTTATCTTTTTGACTTTCGGGCCACGCTCGGTGATGCTCAGGGCTTACTCCTGGCTCAGTGCTCAGGAATTACTCGTGGCAGTACTCGGCGGACCATATGGGATGCCAAGGATCAAACCCGGGCCTAAGGTGTGCAAGGCAGTTGCCCTTCTACGTTTATACTCTCACGAATTGAATATGAACAAGAGTTCATCTCCCCGGAGCTGTTTCTTTGAAACTCTCGCCAGCGGGTGGTGCCCGTCATTTTATCTTTTTCTCTAGCAGCTGAAATGGGAAAGACGGTGGTTTCTCCAGAGACGCTCATTAGATATCCCAGTGTCTGTGTCACTTCTTTGTCATTGTTGTTGGTTTGGTCTGGAGGCCACACTCGGCCGGGCTCAGGGCCTACTCCTGGCTCTGTGCCCGGGCATCCTGTGCTTCTGGAGTAGCACGGGGGACCCACATGTGCTACCGAGGATCAAACCCAGGTCTGCCCCATGCAAAGCAAAGGGCCTGAACTCTTGTTCTGCCTCTGCGGCCCTTAAACCCTTTCCAGAGCAAGGGAGGGTTTGTTCATAAATGAGGTTTATAAATAAAGTTTAGGTAGACTTTATTTATTTTAATATTTTTATTTATATTTAACGTAGCACTGAAGCACTGTCCTCCCATTGTTCATTGATTTGCTCGAGCAGGCACCAGCAACGTCTCCATTGTGAGACTTGTTACTGTTTTTGGCGTATTGAATACGCCACGGGGAGCTTGCCAGGCTCTGCCGTGTGGGCGGGATACTCTCGGTAGCTTGCTGGGCTCTCCAAGAGGGACAGAGGAATCAAACCCGGGTTGCCCGCGTGCAAGGCCTTACCTGCTGTGCTATTGCTCCAGCCCCTATGTTTAAAGTATTAAATATAATATATTTAATATATTCGTTCGATATGCCAGACACAGTAACAAGTCTCACAATGTTACTGGTGCCCACTTGAGCAAATTGATGAACAATGGGAGGACAGTGCTACAGAGCAGTGCAGTGCTACACTAATATATATTTAATGTATTCATATACATTCATATATTAATATCACTGTGCTACTGTATCACTGTCCTCCCGTAGTTCATCAATTTGCTCAAGTGGGCACCAGTAACGTCTCAAAACAAATCAAGAGACTTGTTGTTACTGTTTTTGGCATATCGGATACATCATGGGTAGCTTGTAGGGCTCTCTGAGAGGGGTGGAGGAATCGAACCCGGGTAGGCCACGTGCAAGGCAAATGCCCTACCCTCTGTGTTAAATATATAAATTAAATAAATTTTATTGATAAATGAGGTTGATTGCCTTGTTCATAAACAAGTAACTGAAACAGCTCCTGACACTTCCCCCACTGTGAACAGATTCAGTGACTGCCCTTCCTGGCCTGGGGTACCTGGAGCTCGAGGCTCGGCTCTGCCCTGCCTATAAGGCTCGTGTCTGTGTTAAACACAGGCGTCCCGAGACAGACCTTTCTTTCAGTCTCCTTGCGTTCCGGCCGGCCCCGAAGGCTCCTCAGACTTTGTGGCGAGCACATTTTTCTTGGTCAGTGCAGGACTGTTCCTTCCCGGCCGCGTTCCAGCTCGGGTCTGACCCGTTCGCTTAAGCATGCGAGGAATGTGATTCCTCTCAGGTGAGTGGCCCCGCTTGGCCCCGGCGCTCTCTCGGGCTCTTTTCAGAGGCTCGGAGGCGAGCGTGGGCTGCTCCCGGCCCCTGCAGCCCGGGCCCCCGAGATAAGGCGGCCGAGTGCTGCCTTTTCATCAGTTTAGGAGATGGTTTGTGGTTTGTTTTTTTTTTTTTGCTTTGCACAGGGGTTACTCCTGGTTCATGCACTCAGGAATCACTCCTGGCGGTGCTCAGGGGACCATACGGGATGCTGGGAATCGAACCCGGGTCGGCCACATGCAAGGCAAATGCCCTACCCGCTGTACTATCGCTCCAGCCCCAGGAGATGTTTTTTAATACAAACTGAGACCGACAGGCCCAGACATCGCGTGTCCCCCTTAGCTTGCTGCCCCTGTTTTGAGGGACCGTCCTGCTAGTATTTCAGCAGTGCTGCTGGGAGTCAGAGACTCTTAGGGAAGAGTGTTTTCTACCCAGTGTCCTTTGCTCTTGGTGCTTCTCCCTGCCTCGGTGCTGGGATCGACACGGGCAGCACTTGGCAGGCATGTGGAGACGCGTGCGCTAAGCTCAGCCACGCCCGTCCGACCCCTGTTGGTGGGGACTCCGGTGAAGGAGATGCCCACCCTTCTCCCTTCTTCCTCCCTCCCTCTCCTTCCTTTTTTCCTTTTTTCCTCCCTCCCTCCTTCCCTCTTTTCCTTCCTTTCTTTTCTCCCTCCTTCTTCCCTCCCTCATTCCTTCCTTCCCTCCCTCCCTTCCTTCCTTCCTTCCTTCCTTCCTTCCTTTCTTCCTTCCTCCTCCTCTCCCTCCCTCCTTCCCTGTCAGTGCTCAGGGCTTACTCCTCGCTCCCTGCTCAGGGATCCCTCCTTGAGCGCTTCAGGCTCCACATGGGGTGCCAGGGATCGACCCTGGCTTTGCTTATGCAAGCAAGCACCTTGCCCGCTTGCCTTGATAAACGGCTGAGAAACTGGCAGGGCGCTTGCTTTGCCGACCCGGGTTCCATCCTCGGCACCACTTTAGTCTCCCGACCCTGCCCGAGTGATCCCTCCGCACAGAGCCAGGAGTGAGCCCTGAGCACCGCCAGGTGTGGCCCTAAAAACCCGAACCTCATTGGTTCAGATTTCGGAGCTGTTCCTGTCCTTGTGCGCTGAGTGATCCCTGGTGGTGCTCTGGAGGGCCATGTGTGGCATCAGAGACTCGTACCCAGGCCGCGGCAGGCTTCTGTCTTGTCTCTCCTTTTCCACATCCCTGAAGGCGCCTTTCAGGGGCTCATCCCTCCACATTTTTCCCCTCCCTTTTTGCTTCCTTGACTTGACTCTTCTTATCTGAAAGAATCTTGCAGCAGAATATTCTTGCTTGGCAGGTTTTAATCTCGGAGTATTTCAGGTATGTCAGACCAGGAACTGGGGCCAGAGTGCAAGGCTGGGTGCTGGTCTTGCACGCCGCTGACCGGGGTTTGATCCCTGACTCTCCATATGGTCCCCAGGCATGCACCCTGAGCACCCGTGGTGGCCCCCAAAACAAAGCCAGGCCATCCTCTCTCATACTTTCTATCCATTCCAAGTATTTTTGTTTGTTTGTTTATTTGTTTTCTTACTGGGTTTTTCTCCTGCCCCTAACATCTTTTTTTTCTTTTTGAGTCACACCCAGCGATGCACAGGAGTTACACCTGGTTCATGCACTCAGGAATTACTCCTGGCGGTGCTCGGGGGACCATATGGGATGCTTGGAATCGAACCTAGGTCGGCTGCATGCAAGGCAAACGCCCTACCCGCTGTGCTGTTGCTCCAGCCGCCCTAACATCTTTTTTTAGTTCAAGCTTCCACCTCAGTCTCTGGCCCTTGACTTTCTTACCCTCCACCCCCTCCCCAGATTCTTGGAAGAATCTGAACTCTGTCCCACAGGGCGATAAAATCTTCTGAGCTTGGATTCTAGAAAGTTGCGCTCCCTTGTGATATCATGAGCCCTTGAAGGATCTGACCTTGCTGGTGGGTGTTTGTGTTTGTTTTTCTGGAATTTTCGTTGATAGCTGCTCCTTTAGATTTCTCCTGTTTCTTGTTTTTGTCTTGGGGCGTCGCTCCGGGCTCTGTGCTCAGGGGTTACTCCTGGAGACTGGGCAGAGGTTGAGCCCTGGCTGTTCCTGTCTCCCTGGCCTTGAATTTCGGACTGTTTTCTGTATATGTATGTATATAATGTTTAAATCTCTCCAGCTATGGGAAGGGAGTTGAGCTACTGCTGCTTTGCCAGCAGGTGGTGCTGTGGCTTGATTTGGTTGGACTGCGTGTGCGTGCGTGTGCTTGTGCGTGTGTATGTGTGTGTGTGTGTGTGTGTGTGTGTGTGTGTCTTTGAACTTTGTTGGCATCCTAAGGAAATGAGGTGTATATCTGTAGCTGCTTTGAAAGCTGAGGGCTTGGGGACCTTGTTAGTGGTACCCCCAGATTGAGCTGGGTGCTTACTTCCTAGGGTTGGCATGTGGGGCGGGGGGGGGGGTCTAGTGGGCGGAGAGCTGTGTCCGACCCTCACCTGCATCATTTTTGCTCACTCTTCCTTCTTCAGGGTGTCTGCTTGTCCCTCCCCACCTCCCAAACCACAGCCTTTCACCCTTTCCTGCCCTCACACCCTGTGCCTCTCTGTCTGGCATGGTGGGCTTTATTGCTTGTGGGTTTGATTCAGGTACCTCCAGTTGGCATCTTTGGTGGAGAAAGATACACACACACACACACACACACACACACACACACACCCTTCATGCCTGTGTCAGCACCGAGAAGGCAGGCAGAAAGAACTAAGACATTTTCTTCTCCTCCTCTCTCTTTTTCTTGGGGGGTGGGGGGGCACCCCCAGCGATGCTCAGGGGTTACTCCTGGCTCATGCACTCAGGAATTACTCCTGGTGGTGCTCGGGGGACCATATGGGATTCCGGGTATCAAACCGGAGTCAGCCACCTGCAAGGCAGACGCCCTCCCCGCTGTGCTATGGCTCCAGCCCCTTCTGTTTTCTTTCTTTCATTTGTTTTGTGTTCAGAGGCTGCACCCCACAGTGCCCAGGAGCTGTCCCTGGCTCTGTGCTCAGGAGTGACCCCTGTGGAGTTCGGGGACAGATCGTGGTGTCAGGCGTGGAACCTGGGGGTGGGGAGTCAGGGTATAAGGCAGCACCTTCTCCCCATATTCTCTCTCCAGCCCAGTAAGTGTTTGTGAAGGATTTTTTTGGTTCCAGCCTCCACTAAAAGGAAGGAAGTGTTGCTGACGGCTCTCGGCAGGGACTGTCCACAGGCGAGATGTGGCCAGTAGAGAATTTGCCTAGGGCATGCTAGGGCCCAGGTTCAGCGCCCAGTTCTGCAGATAAACAGATGAATCGGAAACTCAAATGTGGCAGCTCCCTGCCAAAGTCATTTCTCATGGAGAGAACTCATTTTTCCTGCCTGTTTTTTTTTCCTGCAGTTCTGTGCTCCTTGAGACCCTTTTAATTCAGTTAAACCGAATCCCGAGTCCTACTCGTAGAGAAAGCCCTCCTTCATAATATAGTAGTGCAGAAGTAGAGCAGTATCATGATTAATATTCTTGCAAGGGTAAGTGGGGGTGATAAGAATTGTCTCCTGAAGACTCCGGCTCCGGCTCCGGCTCCCAGAGTGACTCACTGATTAGTGCTGACTGGTTCATTTTAGGGCTGGTTGCATCTCAGTGGTAGAGTGCTGGATGTGTGTGTGTGTGTGTGTGTGTGTGTGTGTGTGTGTGTGTGTGTGTCTGTGTGTATGTCTGTATATCTGTGTCTATGTATGTGTCTCTGTGTGTGATGGGAGGCAAGTGTGTGTGTGTGTGTGTGTGTGTGTGTGTGTGTATGTGTGTGTGTGTGGTACTCTGGAGCTTTGATACCCAGCACCACCCAGTAAAGAAAATCTGCCAGTCACTCCCATTTCTGAAGCTGACCGGTGTCCCGGGACAGGATATTTGTCCGTGTGATGCAGTGATTAGTGAGAATCATGTTCTTTATATTGTAGAAAATTTCCTTTCGCGAGGGGCCGGGAGTTGTTCTCAATGGGGTGCCAGGGATCAAACTGGGGTTGGCTGCATGCGAGACTGGCTAAGGGCTTAGCCCTCTATTCAGACTGTCTTCCTACTGAATTTTATGTATCGGTTCTAGCATATCCTTGAACAGAGAAGCTACTTTCTGCTTCGTTTGGGGACCATCCCTGGCAGTGCTGGGGGTGGGGGTGGGGCTCTGCGCTCACGGATCACTCCTGGCGGGGCCTGAGGGCCATCTAGGCTTCCAGCAAGGTAACCCCCCTACTCACTGTTCTTTTGCTTCTGCCCCAGAAAGCTCCTTTTTCATCATTTAAAAACCCAGGAGCCTGAGTTCTGGGGGAGGGTTAAAGCACTGGTGTGGCTCGCAGCAGACTCTGATCTGATCTTGGGCGTATGTGTGGTCCCCAGAGCCAGGGGTGAGCCCTGAGCAGAGCCAGGGGGGCGGTGGGGGGGTGGGTCCAAAACAGAGACAGTGGAAAGGGTTTCTTTTCGGGGGTCGGAGAGGTAGCCACCGGCGTCGGGTACTTGCCTGTAGTGCTGCTGACTTGGGTTTGGTCCCAACACCCCATCTGATCCCTGAGCCTGTCTGGAGGCCTCTGAGCAGAGCTGGGAGGAGGCCGAGCACCTCGGGGCTGAATATTTATTGGGCTTCCCCGTGCCAGGCCCACATACACTCTCCTCCCCTGAAAGACGGAGGCGGAGTGGAAGGTGCAGACACGTCCTCTCACGAGTCTGCCCGCGCTGTCTGAATCCCAGATTCATTAGTCCTTGGTGTGCGGAACTCGCCAGACATCCGTCAGCGGGTTTTTGTCTTTTGCTTTTATCTATTTTTCAATCAGCGTAGCTCTCCGAAGCATTTGTGTGGCAGAGACCCCCTTGAGCCCTGGTCAGCACTGGGCCAGAGAGGGCCCAGGGGTAAGGCCCTCGCCTTAAGGGTGGATGACCCCAGCTTGATTCCGGAGCATCACTCTGTGACCCCAGAAATCTTTCCCACACCCCAAGAAAAAGAAATTTCATGTTGACTAGGCTTTAATAATTTAGTTTGAGCCAGAGAAATGGCACAGACAGTAGGACATTTTCCTTGCACGTGCCAGCCTGGGTTCGATCCCCAGCATCCCATATGGCCCCCCAAGCACCGCCAGGAGTGACTGCTGGGCACTGCCAAGTGTGGTCCCCAAACCTAATAATTAGAATAATTTAGTTTGAATTTATCTTGAAAGCAGGGGAATCCTTTCTCTGGTTCGGTATGGGAGGGAGCAGGAGTTGAACGATGCCACTTAAGGTCTTAGCTGGAGTCAGGCTCCATTTGATATGGGTGAGGATGATTCTCTAGCATTTTGACTGGAATAACTGCTTTTGTCATAAGGGGTAGCATTTAAAAATCATAGATAGTCCACACTGGTGCTGTTCTTACCGGGACTTTCAGCCAAACCTTATCACTATTTTGGAGATTCTTGAAACTGCAGAGGTAGAGAGATCAGCTTATAGCGGGTCACCCCAAAGAATGAACAGTCGTAATCAGCCCAATGTCAGTTCACTCATTTCTTCACTCAGCAAAGCATGGCTGTTTTGTTTTTGTTTTAAGTAAGAGCACTTTTTAAAAATATGCTAACGTGTTTTAAGGGGGCGTATATTACGATTATAAAGATTGAATCGGGGTCTGCTACATGAGTGGCAAATGCCTTACCCGCAGTTACCATCTCTTCAACCTTTTTTTGGGTGGGGGGGTTGGGGAGGAATGTGAAGGCCACACCCAGCAAAGCTAAGGGGTTCCTCCTGCCTCTGTACTCAGGAATCACTCTTGATGGTGCTTGGGGGACCCTATGGGATGCCGGGGATTGGACCTGGGTCCACAGGGCAAGGCTAGCGCCCTCCCCACTGCCCCATCACTCCAGCCCAGTATTGTTCTGTCTTTAAAACATCCCTAATGTCAAGAGACTCAGGAACAAATCTCGGAACCCAGCAGGTTTTGGCAGAAATCCCTCCAGATTTAAGTGTTAAAATTTCGGAATTTCAAAATCGCACGGCCACTACTGCAGCCATGCGACATCATATGTTATTCATAACCAGCAATAGAACATAAATTGTCTACTGTTGCCTTTTCAGCAGATCTGAGTGTTGGGGTAAAATCTCAAATAATGGTGGGTCTGGTGTCGAAATATTGAATGTGATCAAAGTAGAGAGAGAGTAATGTGGAAATCATCTGCCCCACAGGCAGGGGGAGGGTGTGGGATAGGGGTATACTGGGGTTTTTTGGTGGTGGAGAATGGGCACTGGTGAAGGTACGGGTGTTTCATTGTATGACCGAGACTTAAACCCAAAAGCTTTGTAACTGCTCTCACGGTGATTCAATAAATAAAATTATAAAAAATGAAAAAAAGTAAGGTGGAGTTCATGCCCAATTCAATCAGCTAATCAGCTAATCAGTTGCTGAATAAATAGCAGTACTCCTACATTAAAAAAAAATTCCTAATGGGTATTTAAGGTCTTGAAGCATTAACCCCCTTGAAAGTGAAGTGAACCCCTGTGACCCCAGAACTCTGAGTTCTCCCTTCAAGTGGCGGTTCCTGCAGGGAACGGGGTCTCTACGCACTGATGCCCAGTGGTCGCTGGGGCTGGGGGTCTGGACTGAACGGGTGAACCGCTGAGGGACGCCTGGACACTGTCCCTGAGGCCTGCCAGGACTCTAGGGCTCAGTATCCAGGGGGACCCGCGCCTCTCCTGGGCCTCCTCCCTTGGGGCAGGCGTGGGGGGATGGGTGCGGCCTGATGCGTACTGAGGCCTGGCGCTTGGGCTGGTGGGAGACTGGGCAGGAGAAGAGCTGGGGGTGGGCAGCGGGTGGGCAGCGGGGATCTCACCAGCACCCGTAGTCTGGGGGATCAAGGAGTGCGAGTGCCCCGCGGTGCAAAGGCGCCACCCCCAAGGATGGCCAGGTGCGCCGGGGGGCGGGGGGTGCGCGCCACCACGGGGGCCTCCCAGAGCTCTGTGAGGTCCCCAGGGCCTCCCCCAGGCTGGCCCAGAGCCCCAGTGGCCTCATCACCTGCTTCGGGGAATTCAGTCTGGTTTTCATTGTACTTTTTAAAAAAATTGTTGGGCCAGAGCGATAGCACAGCAGGTGGGGTGTTTGCCTTGCACGCGGCTGACCTGGGTTCGATTCCCAGCATCCCATAGGATGCCCCCCAAGCACTGTCAGGAATAATTTCTGAGTGCAGAGCCAGGAGCAACCCCTGTGCATCGCTGGGTGTGACCCAAAAAGCATAAATAAATAAATAATGGTTTTCTTTGCGTTTATTTTATTTTTAATTCTTTTGGGGGAGGGTCTACCCCCTGTGGTGCTCAGGGCTCTAACCAGGTGGGCTGTTGCTCAGGGACCCCTTTCCCCGCTTTTTATTTTTCCTGTTCGCTTCGGCGCCTCCGCAGTAACCGCCCTGCCTTGCAGATCATAAGCACACCGCAGAGACTCCCCGGATCTGGAAGCGTCCTCCTCGGGGGCCCCTACGCACCCGCGCCCGCCATGGTCACGCAGACGCACATCGCCGAGGCCACCGGCTGGGTCCCAGGGTAAGCACCTGCCTGCGGCCCCTTGGACCGACCGGATGCATGAATGACCCGGGTGGGTGGACGGCCAGGGGTGCGTGAATGACCCAGGTCGATGGACCGACAGGGCCAGCATGATTGACCACAGGTGGCTGGACCGACAGGGCCTGGTGACCCAGGTCGATGGATCAACGGGGATGTATGAATGACGTGGGTTGATGCCTCGGTGACTGAATCAAGGCATTTGCAGAAGTCTGCATAAATGACTGAAACGAGGAACTTACAGTGTTGTGAATACGTGACTGACGCAAGGAGTCTGCACAGGATGCATAAATGCCTGCGAACCATGCGTTGACACAGGTGCACACTAATGATTCGATCAGTGAATTTACTGATGAAATCAGCGTGCATGGATGGTCGAATCCATGAATTCACGTGGGTGAGCGTGAACGGTGTGAATCAGTGCGTTTACATAGGTGTGCACTTACCACCATGAATCAGTGAATTGACGTAGGTGTGCATTAAGAATGCGAATCGGTGAATTGATACGGGTATGCACTTATGACCGTGAATCAGTGAATTTTCACAGGTGTGCATTAATGATGCAAGTAGGTGAATTGACCTAGGTTTGTATTCATGACTGTGAACCAATGAACTTACATGGGTGTGCGTTACAGACCACAATTCAATGGATTTACATGTATGTTTAAATGTTTGGAGCGTAATCCCTGTCTCCCTGGTGCTTTTGCTTTGGGGTTTTTTTCCTTTTGTTTTCTGCTTGTTTGTTTTGTGGCCATAACCTGCTCATCCTGGCGCATCCTGGCGCTGTGCTCAGGGATAACTCCCCGGCGGGGTTCTGGGGGGCCAAGTGGGGTGCCGGGTATGGAACCCGGGTCTGCTGTGAGCAAGGCAGGCACCCTGCCCTCAGTCCTATCACTCCAGGCCCCTCCACTGGTGCTTTGGGGGCTACTCTGGTGGTCCTGGGGGCCATACAGCGGTGGAGGATTCTTGCTAGACGCCGCACATGTGCCCCAGCCCTCTGAACCATCTTCTGGCTAGTTACTAGTTTAAAAAGGGAAAAAAAAGTTTTTCTTTTGTTTTTTGGGTCACACCCAGCTCTGCTCAGGGCTTACTCCCGGCGGCCTCGGCAGATGCAGACTGTGTGGTGCTGGGGATCGGACCCTGTAGGTCAGTGCATGGCAAACGCTTCGCCTGCCTTCCCCACTGCACTGTCCCTTAAAAAATTTTTTTAATTTTAATTTTAATCTTAATTTATTTAATTTAATTTTATTTATTTAATTAATTTAATTTTAATCTCCAGCCACTTGCCCTTAAATTTTTTCTTTTAATTTTTTCACTTTTTGGGTCACACTTGGCAATGCACAGGGCTTACTCCTGGCTCTGCACTCAGGAATTACTGCTAGCAGTGCTCGGGGGACCATATGGGATGCTGAAATCGAACCCAGGTCGGCTGTGTGCAAGGCAAACACCCTACCCGCTGTGCTATTGCTTCAGCCCCTTAAAAATATATACATGTATATTTTTTTTAATTAATTTATTTATTTTGAATACCCATCCCTCCACCAGTGACCATTTCCCACCACCACGGGTCCCAGTATCCCTCCCATCCCCCACCCCCCTTAAAAAATATTTTTAAGTTCTGTTTTGTCTTGCTCTCATGGGTTTTTTGTGTGTGTTTTTGGGGGGGTTTTGTTGTTGTTGCTGTTTGCTTTTTGGGTCACACCCAGCGATGCACAGGGCCTACTCCTGGCTGTGCACTCAGGAATTACTCCTGGAGGTGCTCGGGGGCCCATATGGAATGCTGGGAATCGAACCCGGGTCGGCCGCGTGCAAGGCAAACGCCTTACCCGCTGTGCTATGGCTCCAGCCCCTTGCTCTCATGTTTTGAATGCCAGTCTAATCATAAAAAAGTCACGTTTTCTTTGGAATCTATTTTGTGTCACTTAATGTCTTAGATACGAACCATCTCTGAAGCGACCGTTTTTAAACCATAGCAGTAAAACAGTAGTACGAGGATTTGTCCCTGGTGGCTTTGCCCGGCCCCCCAGAGAGGACAGGTTCTGCGTGATGAGGATACTTAGCAGCTTTGCGGATGTCAAAACGGAATTGCTTTAACAGGGGGAAGAGATCCTAGGGAAGCAAGCTGAGTTTATGAAAATTTCCATTGAATTTTCTCATCTTCTTTTTTTCAAATGCCAGGCAGTTAAGTTAATGCTCCTGGTTCCTCATTTATTTCACGTCTTTCAATATTGGCGGCTCTTCTAGATGCTTCTTCCAACATCGAGAGAAAACCTGAGCGCGTCTTGCCTTTCCCAATAAAATGCCCTCCCCCTCCTCCTCATTTCTGAATTTCTTCCTTGCTAAAAACGATAACAATAATGATAGTCCGATGAGTAGCTTGAAACTTTTTCTTGTCACTATTTTGCTTCTTTCTTTGGGGGCTCCTCCATACCCAGTGCTCAGGGGACCACGCAGTGCCAGGGATCGAACCGGGGTTCCTCTGTATGAAGTGCACATTCCAGCCCTTTGAGCTGTCCCTTTGCTCCTGTTGTGTTCCTTTAGTTGGTACTTGGTGGCATCCTGCGTTGGCCGCGCATGGATGGGCGTAATTGTGGATGCCAGCGAGAGCACTGTGAGTGTCGTTGAATCAATGGTTCTGGGGGGGGAAGGGGCCGGAACAGTAAGTGGACAGATGCTGCGTAGACCCTCAGAAACACATGTATGTCCACACACAGAGGGGACAGAGTTTCATATGCAAGCACACGTGTCATTTTCCTGTGAGGTGCAGTGACTAGACCAACTCTAATGGACCCACAACCTCACTTTGGTTTTATGGTCCCTGGGGTGTTTTGTTGTGGTTTGTTTTGTTTTGTTTTGTTTTGTTTTGCATTGTTTGGGGAGAATTTAACAAGAAAAAATGACTCGGCTGCCGTTTTGACCCCCCATACATGGAGCTGACCAGGATTTGATTATTTCCAGCCCAAGTGAGACATTCTGTTGCGGGTGGTGTGTTGGGATAGTTGATGAGGGCTATTGGGGGGGTCAGTGCTCAGCACTGCTCTGGGAATGCTCCCTGCTGAGTGCTCAGCACTCTCCAACAATGCTCGGGGGACCTCGTGTCATCAGGGTGGAACCCAGCACTTCCCGTGCAAAGCACACATGCCCAGGCCTTGCGCCGCCTCAGACACTGTGACACAGTTCCACAGTCACGCCGGAGGGATGGAAACGTTTGTGTTTCTTCTCCTTTGCGAATCTCCAAAGAAGCGTTAAGCTCCTTTGGCCCGCCCATTCCCTGATGGCCCTCCTCCGCCTGAGGATCTAGTGATCACTTTGATTTGCTTTTATGTTTCTTATGTTTGCTGGCGCGTTCGACAGATTACAACGAGTTGTTGGTGAAATAAAGCCATTCTAATGTTTGTTTTCTTCTATGCTATCTTTTTTTTTCTTTTTAGTGATAGAAAACGGGCTAGAGAATTAATAGACTCTGATTTTTCAGAAAGGTGAGTGTCAGTGTAAGTATTTCGGGGGGCAAATATTGCTGTGCACCGCGGGCCCCGCTGCCCAGACCCGACCTCTGGGGCCACTTGGAGGTTTTTTTCCCTCCATTCAGTCCCTTTCCTGCTGAGTTCCTGCCACTCTCCTTTTGCACTGAGTATTCCTCAGATACTGTTCGGGCGGGGCTGGTGAGGGGGCCACCCTCGCAGTGCTCAGGGGCTCCTCCCAACCTGTGCTCAGTGCTCCGGGGTCCAGCTAGAGGGACGGGCCTATCTGTAGCACCTGAATGAGGAGTCCTGGGGGGGAGTAATTGGAGAGCACTGTAGCCTGGAGTCAGGGAGAAAAGCAAAGGTATGTGAGGGACTGGAACGGCCGGGGAGGCTGCAGGAGGAACCTGATCGCAGGGAAACCCCGAGTTCCGCCTTGCACGGGCAGCGACGGGGCTGCTTCTCAGGAGGCCGAGGCCGAGGGGCGCATCCCGGGCTGCCGCCTGGGAGCGAGAAGGTTCTCAGGGCGGCTGAGCAGGATTTAGGGTGGGGGTGGGGGTGCCCAAAGGGAGGCACTTGGTCTTCTGCGTGGGCCGTTGGGGGGGATATTGATGCTGGCTGCCTTCCTTGCAGTAGTGCTCTGTGGGAGGAACTGAGACTTGTTTTGGACACGGAAAGCTGAAGACGTTTGTGAGGGACCAGAGAGATCAGTGCAGTGGGCTGGGCTCTTGCCTGGTACACAACCGACTCGGGTTCTGTCCCCAGCAAGCGTAGGGTCCCCCCAGCCCCAGCAGGAGTGATCTCTGAGCACTGCTGGGCTTGGCCTCATCCCCCACCCAGCTCTCATCCCCCCAAGAAGAAGTTTATTGACCAAGGAGATGACTTGCGTGCTGGAGCACATACTTAGGCTGTTCAAGGCCCGAGTCTGATGCCTGGAACCACATGCTCCTTCCTGGGTGAGCGCTTTGTAAAAAAATCAGTCAGTTTTAAATTACAAATTTAAAGGGAGAAAGAGATGCTGGAGAGAGAGAACGGGAAGTAAGGCTCTTGCCTTGTGTGTTACTAACTCTGGTTTTCTATTAGTTTCATTTTGTTTTTTACGTTATTCAACAAGCTACTTTTTTTTTAATTATTTTTATAAGGTTATTCACATTGAGCACATTCACTGTTTCAACATCAGTCCCGCCATCATTACACCTTCCCACTGCCATTGTTTCAAATTTCCCCACCACCATTCAAGCCTGCCTGCCAGGGGCAGATGCTGGATAATTTATTTTCTGTTGCTTATTATGAATATCATGAGAGGTCGCTTCTGAAATTCTAAAATCGTAAAGGGATGGGATCCAGAGAACAGATATCTCTGTAGGAAGCTAATCCATTTTGAGATTCATCTGGGAGTCTCTGGATCAAGGTGGTTGGTGTGCTGAGACGGCACTGGAGGCAGATCGTGGGGTGACAGCCAGGACCCCAGGGGGCGGGGACACGGGAAGGGACAGCCCATCTCCACTGCTGCCATGTGGCCTGACTAACCTTGGTTTGATCCCAGTACAACATACAGCCCCCAAACACCCCCAGGGGGGATCCCTGAGCACAGAGCCAGGAGTAAGCCCTGAGCACCTGCAGAAAACCAGAAAAGAACATGATTGGGGGTGGGGAAGGGGGGAACCACAGACATTGGCGTTTAGCCAGCTTTCTTTGAGTTTATGCCCAGTTGACAGACCACGTCCTGCACTGAACAATCCCATTAAAACTCCTCTACAGTCCTCCTGTGTATAATTCAAGAGTCCGTTCATCTGTAATGGTTGCTTAATGTTCGGTTGTTCCTATGTAAGGAATATAGTTAGTTTGTCTTAGTTTGCTCTTAATGCTCTCGTGAAAGGCTGTTGAAGTCCCCAGAGCTCCCCCAACTTTCTTGTTGCTCCATGAAAAAAATAAGATGGGGCTGGAGCAATAGCACAGCGGGAAGGGTGTTTGCCTTGCACGCAGCTGACCCGGGTTCGATTCCTGGCATCCCATACAGTCCCCTGAGCACCACCAGGAGTGATTCCTAAGTGCAGAGCCAGGAGTGATCCCTGAGGATGAGAGGGGAGGTGCTTGCGTTGTGTGCAGTGACCCCAGTTCCATCCCCATCACTGTACTTGCCCCCCACACCACGAGCGGTCTCCTCCTGAGCACAGAGCCAGAAAGAGCCCCCGAACACTGCTGGGGGAGGCTGGCCCCACACCTCCAAAATAAATGTATTAGACCTAAACTATATGGAAAAAACATCGGCCCTGCCTTTGCTTCCTAGTCTCCTGCTTCTGAAAAAACATCTGCGGGGCTAAGCAATAGCACAGCGGGTAGGGCGTTTGCCTTGCACGCGGCAGACCCGGGTTTGATTCCCAGCATCCCATATGGTCCCCCGAGCACCGCCAGGAGTGATTCCTGAGTGCAGAGCCAGGAGTAACCCTTGAGCATCACCAGGTGTGACCCCAAAAAAGCAAAAAAAATGAAATTAAAAAAAAAATCTGCGAGCACCGAGTTGAGAGTTGCGTACTTACTGGACAGCGTGCTTCTTTCAGAGGGATCCCCACCCTCCTGCTTTGAGGGACTCGGGTTCATTCCTGTCCCCAAAGCCGCACTAATTATGAAAGTGTGTGCGTGACTAGCCATTTGTGTTGGAGGGGAACAGAAATCGTTGCTCCGGACTGTGACTCAAGGGGGCGGAAGGACAGGGGGCCGAGCCCTTGGCGGGGTCTGAGCCACGTGGATGTTTGGGACCCAGGTCCTGTAGTGGCTTCGTTCATTTGGGGGGTTTTTTGTTGTTTTTCGGGCGATGCTCAGGGGTTCCTCCTGGCTCTGCGCTCAGGAATTACTCCTGGCGGTGCTCGGGGAACCATAGGGGATGCTGGAGATTGAACCTAGGTTGGTCGTGTGCAAGGCAGACGCCCTCCCTGCTGTCCTATGGCTCCAGCCCCATGTCGCCGGCCCTTTGGCCCCTTACTTTCTTGGTCCCAGAAGAGGAGTCGGCCACCATGTCGGTTTGCCCGACAGCCTCTGTAGAAAAGCTGAGTGACAACTGGGGTTTCTGTTCCTTCTCTGGTCAGCTCCCACACTGGCTTCCCAGCACCCCCACCCCCTCCCCCCCCATGTCCTTTGTCTTTAACGGACCTTGTTATTTAAGCAGGCAACTTCTCCTGTCCTGGTAGTCGCTCCGCTTATAGGACCCTTCAGCTGTGGGATCCGTGTGTGGTGTCAGAGTTCTGTGTGGCTTTCTTCTTTCTCTTTGGTGCTTCTGGTTTTTGAGGATTTTTGTTGTTGTTGTTGTTCTTGGTGTTTGTATTGGCTCACCCAGCGATGCTCAGGGCTTACTCCTGTGCTTTCGGGGGTGGCCCTGAGCTCAGGAATCACTCTTTGCAGGGCTCAGGGCACCATATGGGATACCAGGGGTCAAGCCCAGATCAGCGACGCGCATGGCAAGTGCCCTCGCCGCTGTGCTACATGCCAGGGGTTTCCGCTTCTCATGCTGACCTTGAGTCAGTTTCACTGTAGCTCATCAGGGTCTGTACCTCTTAATTATTTTTCTCCCTGTAATGTTAGTGCATTTCTAATTTTAAAAGTTGTTGGCTTTTATTAGGGTCCTTCTTTGCATCATCTCTGAACATTAGTGATCATGAACCCCCAGCATAACTTATTTTGTAGATATCTCATACATCTGTCCTTATTGTTAGTATTTTTTTTTCTTTTTGGACCACAGCCGGCGATGCTCAGGGGTTACTCCTGGCTCTGCACTCAGGAATCACTCCTGGCGGTGCTCAGGGGACCACATGGGATGCCGGGGACTGAACCCAGATTGACTGCATGCAAGGCTAGCGACTCACCCACTGTGCTATCGCTCAGGCCCCAGGCCCATAGCTTTAGAAGGTTGAACAGCACCGAGGTGGGTCAGAAGCAGGAGGCCTGACCCCAGGACACACGGCGAGGTGTGACAGGCTGTGACTCACAGTCAAGTAAAGCACTTGACTTTATTTGCTTTGGGGATTTTTGTTTGTTTGTTTTGTTTTGGGGTCACATCCAGCAATGCTCAGGGCTTATTCTTGGCTCTGCACTCGGGAATCACTCCCAGCTGTGCCCCGGTGGGGACCATATGAGATCCTGGGGATCGAACCCAGGTAGGCTGCATTCCTACGCACTGTCCAATCACTCTGACCCCAAACGCGCATGCCTTGAATTCATAACACGTGGATAGGATTTGTGGCACTTGGAAGAAGCCAAAGCAGAGATGGCTTAGGAGCGTGGGAAGATCCACGGGGCCACGAGGAGTCGCAGGGCGCTCTGGGACGGTGAGGAAGCAATTTTGTGGCGACTCTTAAAAATCCAGGGACTCCTTTGAAGGGTGGAAGTCAGGGTGTGGGTGAGCATTTCGTTAAGGGGTTCTTTGAAAGGGGAAATTGAACCGGAAGGGAAGAGCAGCTCCCTGAGCTCGGCGGAAGGAGGGAGCCCTGGTACCTTGGAAGCATCCACCCGGAGAAGCTACAGAGCTGGGCCAGTTCCCTGTGAGCGCCTGGGCCCGCCGAGGCAGGCTCATTCACGCACCGGTCCAGGGAGCATCCGGAGTCCTTTTCGCGCTGTGTGATCCTGCCCAGGCCAAAGGTGTTGCAAAGCACGGGGAGTTGGGGCTGGAGCAATAGCACAGCAGGTAGGGCATTTGCCTTGCACGCGGCCGACCCGGGTTCGATTCCCAGCATCCCATATGGTCCCCTGAGCACCGCCAGGGGTAATTCCTGAGCGCAGAGCCAGGAGTAACCCCTGTGCATTGCCGGGTATGACCCAAAAAGAAAAAAAAAAAGCACGGGGAATTTTTGATTTCTAGTAAGTCAGAGGAAGGAAATAAAAACAGGGAATTAAGCCTACTGTCTTCTGCTTCGTACCCCAAACCTCTCCCCATTGCCGCTTTCTAGGCCACTTCCTGCCCATAGGGGTTTGGGGGGAGCTTCAGTACTTGAGGAGGAAGAGGGAGACTGAGCCACATCCAGGAAAGACTGCTCCCGGAGCAGTGCTCTGAGCTCACTCCCAGCTCTGCTTTGGGGGACAGCGTGGTGTCGGGGATCGAACCCGGGGCTCTTGCATGCAGCCCATGTGTTCCAGAGTGATTGTACAGCAGGTACAGCGCTTGCCTTGCTCACCGCCAATGCAAGTTTGATCCCCGGCATCCCACGGTCCCCTGAGCACCACCAGGAGTAATTCCTAAGAGCAGAGCCAGGAGTCAGCCCTGCGCATCCCCAGCTGTGGTTCCAAGAGGCAAAGTGCTCCAGCCCCTGGAGCTAGGAGAGAAAGAACGTGCAAGGGAAAAGTGGTACATCAGATCTCTAGGATTTGTTCTTTGTAGGTAACTAGACCTACCACACAGCTGTCTCCTGCTCCCCAGCTCAGACCATTGGAAACAGGATTCTACCCTCTGATTCTACCCTCTGAGTTTGCAGTCTTTTGGATACTTTTTGGTTTTGTTTTTGGCAGAGGGTTGGGCACGCCCTGCAGTGCTCAGGGCTAACTTCTGGCTCCGTGCTCAGTGATCACGTCTGGTCCATTCAACCTACCATACAGGGTATACTGAGGATCGAGATTCGTCCTGCAAGTGTGGCCATCATGTCTTGCCTGTCATTGGGTGACAGGTCTTTCTCCCTCTGTGCCGGGGCCTCCAGTTCATCCACGTGGTAACAGACAAGGGCTGCTGTTCCTTTTTCAGGGCTGACTAATACTCCACAGCACGGACCTGCCACCTTTCCTTTATGCAGTCATCTGGAAATCAGCCCAGAGCACGCTCAGGCCGTGTACCTCTCTGGGCTGTTGGTGACCAACTGCCATGACCAGGATCTCTTTGAGATGCTGGTTTTCATGATTCAGGCTAGGGGTAGGATTGCTGGCTTGTATGGCGGTTCTATGCTTCGTTTTTGTTTTGTTTTGTTTTTTGAGGCACCCCCCTATCTTTGGTTAACTGACTGCCCCAACAACCCCATACAGAGGGTCTTCTACTTGCCTTGCCCCTGACACATGATCTCTTTGGTGTTTTGTTTACATATAGTCTTCCCAGTAGGTGAGTGGGGTGTAGCTTCCTGTGGTTTGGGTTTGCGTTTCCAGGCGGTGATGAGCAGTTTTTCATGTACCCACTGGCCACCGTGTGTGTGTGTGTGTGTGTGTGTGTGTGTCTGTCTGTCTGTCTGTCTGTCTGTCTGTTCACAAGGGCCGGGGACGTTGTTCAGTCCTCCAACTGCCAGGTTTCATCCCTGATGCAGGAAGAAAATCACCTATTGATGGCCTGAGCCTGGTTCTCGGCTGTGCTCTTTAACTTTTGCCATTGAATTGATGGCGTCCGCGTTTGGGAGAGTGCCGCCTTGTCAGGGGACGGGCAGGCAGGTGTGCACTCCTGCCCCGCCGGGCACTTTCCTGCTGTCCCCTCAGCTCGTGACTTGGGAAGCTCCCTCTGGCTCCTGCCCAAGTCGCATTGAGTAGTCCTGGGCACTAAAACTTGCTGGGATAGAGAGCTGCCGGTTGTCGCCCATGTCCTCTGAGACCTGCTGAGGGGAAGGATTTGTCTCACTTGCTGTGTTACGCTCTCGGGTCCCATTAGTTTTTGGCAAATAGTTGAGCTCAGATACTGGAATAGAACCACGCACCTAAAGATTCAGCCGATTATCACTTAGACACTTGGCAAGTGCCCAGCATGGGACGATTTGAATTTTCTTCTGGTTTGGGGTTTTTTGTTTTGGGGTCACACTTGGCAGTGCTCAGGGGTTATTCTCCTGACTCTGCGCTCAGGAATTACTCCCAGTGGTGCTCAGGGAACCATATGGGTGCCGGGCATCGAACCCAGCTTGGCCATGTGCAAGGCAAACAGACTCCTCCCTGTACTGTCTCTCTGGCCTGAGACACTCGGACACGCGCACTCGGTGTCTCATCTCTCCGACCCCTCGAATTTTCTTTACAAATATGTTAATTCGGCGCAGACCACCAGTGGCTCACTTCAGTGCCCTTGAACACAGGTGGCAGCGCTGGCTTTCGTGCGTGAATAGTTACTGATTACCGCATTCATTTAATCCAAGTAACTGAAGGCACGGATTCATTATTTTGGTTTGGGTTGGATCAGACCACATCACCGTGGTGCTCGGGACCGTGTGCAACTAGGGCTGGAGCCCAGGGCTCCCCCATAAAGACCCCTTGAGCCATTTCCCAGGCCCTGAGATGTGTCCCTCCTGCCAGTGGCCTCCACTGCCCATGGTGGAAACAGGGCACAAAGACAGCATCACTTTGCGTCTCGGAGAGACAGGCCCTTGCTTGATACAGGCACAGGAAAATCGCATTGGCCAGGAGGGAGACCCCAGCATAGGCTTCGTCTACTCTTCGCAGCCCCCCCCCCCATGAATCCCCGGCGGGGAAAGTTAGGAAGAAACGTCTCTCTCCAAGGCTGCCCAGCATAGAGAGCTCTTACAGTCGTGACCTGATTAAGTCAAAGTTCATTAAGTTTGTTAAGTCAAGTTCAAAGCCCTTGCCAGAGGGGGGTGGTGGCCCGTGGGCTGGAGCACAGGCCCAGCATTCTCAAGCCCAGTGCCACCCCCACCCCCGCCCCGGAACCCAGGCCTCTCGCATGCCCCCAAGTGTGACCCTGATGGCCCCCGACACCGCGGGGCCAGGCCGCATTCCAGCACACACCCGGGCACTGAGCCGTCCAGTCCTTGGCCCAGTGTTCCCCAGACAGGCACCAGGCCCTTTGGATATTGCTTGGGAGACAGACAAATGGACAGACACACACACACACACACAAATACACACTCACACAAACCAGGTTCCCTCCCCACTTTCATATCTAATTGAATTTAAAAAATTCCACTTGAAATAAAATTTTATTTGTATTGAAGTTAGGTTTTGGATTTGCTCAGAGCTTACTCAGCCCACTGCCAGCTCTGCACTCAGAGAGCAGTCCTGACTCTGTGCTCAGGAATGACTCCTGACTCTGACTCAGGGATCTCTCCTTACTGTGCTCAGGGATCACTCCTGGCTCTGTGTCCAGGGATCACTCCTGGCTCTCTGCTCAGGGCTGGAGTTGTAGAGTTTTGGGGATGAAATCCCCCATGTGCAAGCCAATTCCTTACCTGCTATGTATGACTGTTCCAGCCCCTTAAACAGAATTTTAAAATGTTCCAGACCCTCACAGTATTTTAAGGGTCTTCATGTTAAAGACAGCTTGTCTTTTTTCTTACGGATGATGGAATATAATTGTGTTTCCTCTTTCAGTAAACGAAGCAAAAAAGGAGATAAAAATGGCAAAGGCTTGAGACATTTTTCCATGAAAGTGTGTGAGAAAGTTCAGCGGAAAGGGACAACTTCGTACAATGAAGTCGCCGACGAGCTGGTGTCAGAATTCACCAATTCAAACAACCACTTGGCAGCCGATTCGGTAAGTGGATCGCGAACTTGACCCTGAACGAAGAAGCTGTAGAACTTTCTGGGTTGCTGGGCACTGCGGGGGGGACTCAGATGGGCTGGGGGCTCTGACTTCTTTCATTGCGCATTTTGTAGCATCTGTTTGGATTTTGGGGGTAAGAAGCAAGATCGGGGCTTTTGCGTTTTGTTTTGTTTTGGTTTTGTTTGTGTTTTATTTTTAAAAGCAAGAAAGTTATTATCGAAACTTATTAAGAAAGAGGTGAGGGGAGTGAGACGGGAGAGGAACTTGCTGGTGAGAGAACATGGGCTGCTCCAGAGCGAAAACAGCCAAAGTACTGTGGAGACAGGCAGTTGAAGTACGTTGTCAAGGAAGAGTGTGGGCTTGAAGAGCAGGCTCGGGTTTGTCTTGCTTTGGGTTTTGTTTGTTCGTGGGGGCCAAACCTGGCATGCTCATGGGTTTACTCCTGACTCTGCTCAAGACTGGTGGTGCAGGTGGAATACTATGCAGCCGTTAGAAAAGATGAAGTCGTGAAATTTGCGTATAAATCAATCCACATGGAGAGTATTATGCTAAGTGAAATAAGTCAGAAGGAGAAGAACAGAGACTGCACTCATTTGTTGAATATAAAGCAACATAATGGGAGACTAACACCCAGGGACAGTAGAGATAAGGACCAGGAGTTTTGCTCCATGGCTTGGAAGCCGACCTCACCTCCTGGGGGAAAAGGCGGCTGGGATAGAGAAGGGACCGCCAAGCAAAGGGTGCTTGGAGGGCTCGCTCGGGAGGGGAGATGTGTGCTGTAAGCAGACCATAGACTGAACATGATATCCGCTTACTACCTGTACTGCAAACCATAACGCCCAAAAGGAGAGAGAGAGCAAAAGGGAATGCCCTGCCACAGAGGCAGGGGGTGGCCAGAGGGATACTGGGAACATTGGTGGTGGAGAATGGGCACTGGTGGAGGAATGGGTACTCAACCATTGTATGACGTAAACATAATCATGAAAGTGCGTAAGTCTGTAATTGTATCACAGTGTTTCATTAAAAATTTTTAAAAAGGGGGGGGGGATTCCAAACGATAATGGTGCGTCTTTTGTCGAAATAATGAATGTAATCAAAGTAGAGAGTTCAGTAGAAATCATCTGCCTCTCAGGCATCGGGAGGCGTGGGAGGGGGGGTACATTGGGGTTCTTGGTGGTGAAAAAGAATTACTGGTGAGGGGAAGGGTGTTTGATCATTGAATGACCGAGACTTAGACTTGAAAGCTTTGTAACTTTTCCCACAGTGATTCAATAAATAAAATTAAAAAAAAAAGACTGGTGGTACTCGGGGGACCATGTGGGTGGCTGGGAATCGAACCTGCGTAGGCTATGTGCCACACAAGCACCCTCCGCTGTACTGTCGCTCTGGCCATAAAGCAAGATAGTCCAGATTGAATGTCACATAAGAAGGACATATGGGGAGTCGGGGGGGGGGGTGGGGGGGCCTGTGCTCCAGCCCCTCCAGGCCCCACCTCGGCCTCCGTCTGCCCCGTCACAGGGGCTGGTGACAGAACCCCTCAAAGGTATCACTTGATCACTTGATCCCCCGTTATTCATCGATTTACTCGAGCGGGTGCCAGTAACGTCTCCATTCATCCCTGTTGTGTGCTAGCGTAGCCCAATGGCATCTGTTCGTTCTAGGAACATGCAGAGCTTCTAACTGATCATTCAGGGTCTTGACGAAGAAGTCCGACCATCTTGTAGGTGGGCGTCCACGCGATCTTTTGATGTCCCGTGGAATCCAGTCCGTAATGGCTCTAGTCCAGCGGTCGTCTGTAAACCTCATTACGTGTCCAGCCCATCTGATTTTTGATGCCTTGGCAAATGAGACAGCATCCCTGATTCTTGAGCGTTGACGGAGATCAGAACTCCGGATTCTATCTCTCATTTGAGTGAATCGTGATATTCCAAGCATAGCTCTTTCGATTCCTCTTTGAGAGACCCGAATAGCATTCTCATCCTGTTTTCGTAGGGCCCAGGTCTCTGAGGCATATGTTAATGCAGGAAGAACAGTGGAATCGAAGAGATGTGCTCAGAGCTGGAGGTTCTTTGTCCTCTTAGTTATTTCTTCAACGCTCTTGAAGGCATTCCAAGCCGCTCTCTTCCTCCTGCACAACTCAGGTGCCAGGTCATTCATCATGTTGATTTCTCGACCTAGGTATATATAACTGTTGCATTCGGAGATGGTCGTTCCATTGAGAGCGAATGGGGCGTCAGGAACAAGGCTGTTTCTCATAAACATTGTCTTTGTGAGATTCAGCTGTAGTCCGACCTTTTCACACTCACGGTCAAAGTCGGTCAGCATTTGTGCCACTTGGCTGATGTTTGGTGTTATTAGAACGATGTCATCAGCAAAGCGGAGGTGGTGTAGTTGCCGACCATCTATCTTCACTCCCATTCCTTCCCATTCCAGTCGTCGCATGACGTTCTCGAGGGTGACACTGAAGAGTTTCGGTGAAATGGTATCACCCTGCTGCACCCCTCTCTTGACATCAACAATCACTTCTTTGTAGAATGGTGAGATCCTGGTAGTGAATCCGTAATAGAGCTCACGAAGGATCCTGATGTATTGAGTTTGTACGCCCCGATTGGCTAGGGCTTGTGTGACCGCTTCCGTCTCAACAGAATCAAAGGCCTTCTTTAAATCAATGAACGTTAGACAGAGCGGCATCTTGAACTCCCGAGAAACCTCAATGAGCTTAGTAATCGTGTGGATATGGTCGATGGTACTGAATCCTTTTCGGAATCCGGCTTGTTCACATGGTTGTCCTTCTTCTAGTGTTCTGCTAATCCTATTCAGGATGACTCAAGTGAACAGTTTGTAGATGACAGACAATAGGCAGATTGGGCGATAGTTGCCAATGTCGTGAATGTCTCCCTTCTTGTATAGTAGTACAGTCTTGCTGGTATCATTCAATGAAAATATTTTTTAGCAGGCTTATGACCAGAAGAATATCAGGCGGAGAGTCTATGATGCTCTAAACGTGCTCATGGCCATGAACATCATCTCCAAGGAGAAGAAGGAAATCAAGTGGATCGGGCTGCCGACCAACTCCGCACAAGAGTGCCAGAACCTGGAGGTGAGCGGCTGCCCCCCACCCCCCCTGCCACACACACACACACACACACACACCCGTGTCCGCAGCCGCCTCCTGCATCGGGGCCTTTTCACTTACTCTCAGTCACACAATACCAAAGCACTCCATGTTTTCTATATCCTACTTCACATCTTTTTTTTCCTTTTATTTTTCTCTTTTTGGGTCACACCTGGCGATGCTCAGGGTTGACTCCTGGTCCTGCTCTCAGGAATGACTCCTGGCAGTGCTCGGGGGATCATATGGGATGCTGGGAATCGAACCCAGGTCGGCCGCATGCAGAGCAAACATCCTAACCGCTATGCTATCACTCCAGCCCCTTCACGTCTTATTTTTTAATTTAGCTGTTGATGTTGGGGCCACACCCAGCCCCTATTGCAGTTTTTTGTTTTTTTGGTTTGGGCCTTGTCCCGGAATGCTCTGGGCTTACTCCTGGCTCTGAGTCCAGGGCTCACTCCATGCAGGATGCCAGGGATGGAACCCAGGAGGGCCGCGTGCGAGGCAAGCGCCCTCCTCTCTCTTACCTCTCCGGCCCCCAGTTTCAGTTTTCCACGCCACACTCTGGCTCTCTGGGTTATTGAAATGGAAGAAACTCTACAGGGCTGGTCTGGTTCGCTCCTTTTTTTGTTTGGTTGGCTGGTTTGGAGCCATAGCGGCTGCTCGGGGCTTACACTGTCTCAGGCATCACTCACCCCTGGAAGCGGGCAGGGCACTGACATTTGGGGTGCCAGGAATCAAAACTGGGTTGGCTGCATGCAAGTCAAAGTGTCCTGCCCAGTGGACTATCCCTCTAGCCCCGAACTCATTTATTTTGTATATGAAAATTAAACGTCTCCCTCGAGCGGGCCCAGTAACGTCTCCATTGGAGACTTTGTTGTTACTGTGTCTGGCATATCGAATACTCTCGGTAGCTTGCCGGGCTCTCCGAGAGGGGCGGAGGAATCGAACTCGGGTCGGCCATGTTGGCTGCATGCAAGGCAAACGCCCTACCGCTGTGCTATCGCTCCAGCGTCTCCCACGCAACCCCCCAATTCAGAAAGGATTTATTTATTAATTGTTGTTGGCCGTACCTGACAGTTTTGGCGGCTGCCCTAGCAATGCTTAGGGCTTCCCACATACAAAACAGGTGGTTTTTTGTTTTTTTTTTTAATACTTTTTTTTTGAAAAGCATTTGCTCCAACCTTTGATCTACTTCCCCAGTCTCCAAGCAATAAACTTTCATTTTGTTATTATGCGATTAATAATTTTGGGGAGGCTCATGTGAAAGCAGCAGTACTGTGTGGGACCGAGAGAGAGGCTTCAAGCTTCTCAGCGGATCAAGCTTGCACTGAAACGTCACCTTCTTCTCTAGAACCGGCAGCAGCAGCAGGATGATTTATCATTTATGTCTCTCTGAGAACAGAGGGCAGATTGACCTTCAAGCAAAGGAACATTTCGGTTTGGGCTTTCTGTTTTAGTGTGTGGGGGAGGGGGGTTGTTTGTTTTGTTTTGTGGGGGACGCACCTGGATATGCCCAGGGCTTGCTCTGGCTCTGCATAGGGTCCCCCCAGCACCTCCAGGAGTGAGCCCTGAACACCCCCAGGTGCCCCCCAAATACTGCTCCCCACACACACACACAAAAAGAGAAGAAAAATGGAAAGTCTTCTATTGACTGTTCCTTTTTTTTTTTGTTTTTTTTTGGTCTTTTTGGGTCACACCCAGCGATGCTCAGGGGTTACTCCTGGCTCTGGAGTTACTCCTGGGGCAGTGCTTGAGGGGGCCACATGGGATGCCAGGGATTGAACTCGGGTCAGCCACCTGCAAGGCTAATGCCCTCCCTGCTGGACTATCGCTCTGTCCCTGTTAGTAACTTTTGTCCCAACAGCCCATGAGGAACTGGGCCTCTGATAAACTGAGGTAAACTGAGGCCCAGTAAAACTGGCTTGTGTCGAGTTATCAGAACGAGGAAGATTGTTTGAGGCCGGGTGTTGGTCCCACACCCTGTGGGGGAATTGTCTGCTGAGTATCCCAGTGGGTTAAACTGCATCTGGATTTCTGGACGGGGAGCGGGGAGCAGCTTCTGGGCCCCAGGACCATTCTCTGGAACTGGACTGGACTCCTCAGACGGCCCCTGAACCCCCAGTCTGTGTTTCCTGCGCTTGTCCAATGGCACTCAGCTCATGGGGCCATACTCGGGCCAGGCGTGGGCTCCAGGGGTCAGCTTTGCTCTCAGGGGGGCCTGGGTTCCATCCCCAGGCGCAACCAGGAGCCAGGCCCTCCCCTCCCCCACCCCACACTCATCCAGCCCAGCGCCGGAGTAGGCCGTGGACAGGGCTGGAGGCACTTCCCCCCCAGAGAGCTCCTTCCCGAGTGCTCCTCCTGGTGGCGACCCTGCTGGCGGAGCAGCTGTTCCCCGGGGGGGGGGGGGGGGCGAGGGGCATCGTCACTGTCCCGCCTGCCCTCCAGACAGCGCCCGGCTCACGTCCCTGTTCTGTGCCCGGCAGATCGAGAAGCAGCGGCGGATAGAGCGGATAAAGCAGAAGCGGGCCCAGCTGCAAGAGCTTCTCCTGCAGGTAAAGCCCGGGGGGTGGGGTTCTGGGCCTGGGAGAGGTTCTGCAGAGGCCCTCGGGGACCCCGGGCTGCTGCCCACCCCCCTGCTCGGGTCCGTCCTGGCCCCTGCAGCCGTCTGTGCGGTGGCTCATGCGTGCACATTCCGGCCTACCCGGCTGAAGTGTTCCTGAACCCCAGACCCTCGGGAGTCCATCTGGGGGCAGGGGGGGCTCGGTGGAAACACACTTCCGGCCCTTCTGGGCCCTGAAACCACGGGCCTCCATCTAGACATCAGGGTGACGTCAGCCTCCATCTCGGTGGCCGGGTTTCCCTTTAGAATGGATTTATTGAGTTGGCTCCTTCTCAGTCTTTTTTTGGGGGGTGTCAGGATGTGGGACTGGAGCGATAGCACAGCGGGTAGGGTGTCTGCCCTGCATGTGGCCGACCCAGGTTCGATTCCTCCGCCCCTCTCAGAGAGCCTGGCAAGCTACCGAGAAGATCTCTCCTGCATGTCAAAGCCTGGCAAGGTCCCCGTGATGTATTCGATATGCCAAATAATAGTAACAACAAGTCTCACAATTTGTTGTAAGATGTTACTGGTGCCCACTCGAGCTTATGGATGAACCATGGGAGGACAGTGACAGTCAGGGTGTGGCTTCCTTTCTTTGATAGCGGGGCTGGAGTTCAGAGATTGGACCACATTTGGTGGTGTCCAGGGCTTACTCCTGACTCTGGGCTCACCTGAGTCAGCCCTGGGGCTCAAACCAGGGTCAGCCGCATGCAAGGCCTACTTACATCTGTCCGGTCTCCTGGTCTTTGATTTTTGTGCTTCCCTCAGAAACGATTTTGGGGTCCAGGGAGATACAGTGTAGGGCCAAGGAGTTTGTCTCACACGCGGTGGAGCCTGGTTCCATCCCTAACTCTGTGGCATTTCCCCCCAGCCACCCCCAGGAGTCACTCCTGAGTACAGAGCCAGGAATAGCCCCCTTAGTACCGTAAAAATAGTATTCCAGAAACTCTGCTATGAATAACTTCGTAATTCATGGTGTCTTAATAAAACAAAATAAATAATTTTGCCACAAAAATTTAAAATAGAGAAAAAGAAGAGGTCGTTTTTATGAGGAGCACAAAGAAATGTGTATATTGAGGAACGAAGGAAAAAAACCCAGGAAGGGTTGAAGCAGCTCCTTGCCAAGACAGACACCAGCCAGGAGGTGGGCGTTGGGAAGTGGGGAGTGTGTTCTTAATTCACCCCCTGGGTGTGGGCAGGCCACCTTGGCTCCTAAGACCCTGACTGTAGTTGGCCGGTCCCTGGGTTGCCATGGTAACTCTGAACCATCCTGGCGCCCGGGGGCGTGGGTTGAGTTTTGCATCGATGGGAGAAGGAGCCCGAGTTCTCAGCAGTCAGGCTGGCCTGCTCCTGCTGGTCCGGCTTGTGACAAGAGCTCTCAGGCCCAGAGATAGCACAGTGGGGAGGGCACTTGCCTCGTGCTCAGCCGACCCGAGTTTGATCCCCGGCACCGTATTTGGTCCCCTAACCCTACTCGTTATGAGCCCTGAGCACAGAGCCAGGCGTGATCCCTGAGTAGAGAGTGAGGAGTAAGCCCTGAGCACTGCTGGGTGTGGACCCAAGAGCAAATCAAATCAAGATACGGTAGAGCGGGAGGGCCTTTGCCTGGCACCCGCTGACCTGAGTTTGATCCCCAGCATCCCAAAGCGGGAGTGATCTCTGCCAGGAGTGATCCCTGATTGCAGAGCCAGAGTAAGCCCTGAGCGTTGCGGAGTACCCCCTCCTCTCCCCCCACCAAAAAAATTAAAGGAGAGTGAGCTTGTGCCAGGCACATAAAAGCGAGGGGAAAATCTCTCCTTGTCTTGAATTTGGCCACGGTGTTGGTCTGCAGATGTTTCGTTTGTTTCATTTAAAACTAGGGACCTCAGGTCCAGAGAGATAGGACAGGGTAGGGCATTTGTCTTGCACACGGCTGACCCAGGTTGGATCCCAGGCACTACATATGGTCCGCGAGTCCCTCTAGGCAGGATGCCCTGAGCACAGAGCCAGGAGTAAAGTCGGAGCACTGCCAGGTGTGCCCCCTCCAAATTAGCAGTTGCACTGCACTGTAGCTCTGTCCTCCCGTTGTTCATCGATTTGCTCGAGAGGGCCCAGTAACGTCTCCATCATGAGACTTGTTGTTACTGTGCTTGGCATATCGAATACGCCACGGGGAGCTTGCCAGGCTTTGCCTTGCGGGCGAGATAGCTTGCCAGGCTCTCCGAGAGGAGCAGAGGAATCGAACTTGGGTCAGCCATGTGGGCTGCGTGCAAGGCAAACATCCTACTCGCTGTGCTATCGCTCCAGCCCAGATTAGCAGTAAACCATAATAAATAGACACTCGGGATCTGCTTCTGGGACCCGCTTCCCTTCTTGGGGGTCTGCGCCCACACTCCCCAACACCTGGCCCCTTGCTCTCTGTTCGGTGCTCGGGGGCCACGCCTGGCTCTGTGCTCAGAGATCGCTCCTGACAGGTTCGGGGGGACCATATGGGATGTCGGGGACCAAACTTGTGCGTGCAAGGCCAGCACCCTTCCCCGCTGCCCTGTCCCTGACGCGTTCTCCTGCCCTCTACAACGTTCTTCTTTGGACAGCAAATCGCCTTCAAAAACCTGGTCCAGAGGAACCGGCAGAACGAACACCAGAACCAGGGCCCACCGGCACTGAACTCCACCATCCAGCTCCCCTTCATCATCATCAACACGAGCCGGAAGACAGTCATCGACTGCAGCATCTCCAGTGACAAGTGAGCGGCTGCGGGGTGCCGGGCTAGGGCCCTTCCGACCTGGCACAGGGCTGACCCACAGGGCGAGCATGCCACACACGGGCTAACTCCAGGCAGGGTGCCGTGCATGGTCCAACCCCTGGGGTTTGTCCTGGCCCAGGAGGGCGCCCCAAGCAGGAAGGACCGAGACGCGGGGCGGGAGGGGGATCTCTCTGCCCTTTGGGTGGGTCAGGCTTCGTCTCCTTAGCTATGGGTGAAGGGACTTGACGCCCTCCCTGTGTTCTCTGCTTCCTTCCTTCGTCTTTGCCCTGGTTGTGCTCAGGGCTTACTCCTGCGTCGTGCTCAGGGGTCACTCCTGGCAGTGCTTGGGGGACATACGCAGTGAGGGGTGACTGTGTGCCGCCCCTTGGACCACCCACCTGTGGTGTCACTCACAACAGGCCAGACACAGAGACAAACACTGACCGACAAGCGGACGAAGGAAACTCACAGATCTGTGTCACACACACATTTTCACTCGACGAATCCCTCTTTGCCAAGGGAACAGGCAGCCAAGCCAGCGTCACAGGCCTGGTGTTGGGGCCAATTGCCCTGGGGCTGAGTCCAGTTCTCAGTCGGGGGCATCAGGAGCTTCTCTGCCCTCCTTCTTCATGGGGGCGGCTCTCGGGCCGCCGTCCCAACTGCTCCCTACCGTCACCCTCCCCATCACGTGGGTCCCTCGAGAGACGGGGCCAGAGCAGACCAAGCGCAGCGTGTTGGGACTCAGCCCGCCCTGAGCTCTTGGCGGCTGCTGTCGCTACGACTTGGTCACCAGGCAACAGGAATTTTGGAACGGCTGGCGCACAGCAGGCCGGCACGGGCAGAAGTGCCAAGCTGCGTCATGCCCCGGGCACGGTTAGCTGGGCAGAACAGGCCCCACACAGCGCAGTGTACTGTGCACACGCACAGCGGGCCGTTATCCAGCAGCGACTCGGCGGCCCCTCGGGGCTCGGTGCCAGGTGAAATGGAAGACTCTCGGGGGATGATCTCACGTGGGCGATCCGAACCAGGCAAACTCGCGGGCACAAAATCTGATGTGGAGGCTAGAGCCACAGGACTGTGGGCGAGGTGCCTGCCTTGAAGAAGGCTGATCCCGCCTCAGACCCCTGCCGCTCCATACTGACCCTTGAACCCTGCCAGGAGTGGCCCAAACCCACCCATCCCCACCCCCTTCCGTTAATAATATGGTATCTGGGGCTGGAGTGGTATCACAGCGGGTGGGGTATTTGCCTTGCACACGGCCGACCCAGGTTCGATTCCCAGCACCCTAGATGGTCCCCTGACAATAATATGGCATCCACCAAAGGAAGAACCAGGAGCCAGAATTTGATTTTTAGAGCATTGGCTACAATTCCAAAGGTTTCCTCCCAGGGCTGTTGGGCTGATTGCCCCCTCCTGTAGCCCTGTATCATCTCCCTTCTCTAAGCAGACAGATAGAAGCACCCACAGGTGCCCACGGGTTCAGGGGCACCCCACCATCGCAGTGCGGTATCTCACACTTTGGAAAACATGATGAGAAATAAAGGCCAGGCAGATTCGGAGTTGAGCGCACGATTTTGGTCTTTTCTCTGGCTCTGCAGTTTCAATCTGAACTTAGAAAAGAAAGTTTGGGGCAATTCAGGTACCCCGATGTCTTGTTTCTTCCCCGATAAAGAAGTTTCGCGCCACTGAATACCAATGTAAACATTAGTTTACAAGATTCAGATGAAAGCAGAGACCCGGCCCAGCCCGGTGGCCTCACTGGAACAGCCACTGTGTGTGTTCTCGTCAAGACTTGAAAGGCCTTTACCAGAATGCATGTCTGGGGCGGGAACAGCAGCTCCGGGAGCCAGGGCATGAGCTTTACATGTAGGAGACCCGGGTTCTGACCCAGCTCTGCCTGGTCCCCTGAGCACCACGCTCGGGGAATAGCTCCCGAGCACCCACAGGTGGGACCCAGATGTACCCCACAACCCCAGGCACCCACCAAGACAAAACTCATGTCTTAAAGGACTTTTGCACCGTCTCAAAGCAGAGAGTTCTAGAGCATTCTAGAATGTTCAGGGTTAGGTTCTGGTTTCTCTCGTGGGGAATGAATACACTTTTGCCTTCAGTCTTGTAATTCTGAAACACGCAGGGGGGGTGCGGGGGAACGAGGGGGCTTGCTTCTCGCTGCCCGCTGCCACGAGGGAGGCTCTGTACCACACCAACTGCCTTTGACAAGTGCCTGGAGCTTAGCTCAGCCAGCCGATCGATTCAGATTGGTCCTGTTTGTTTCAGTTTGGGGGAGGGGCGGGGGGTCACAGCTGGCTCAGTGCCCAAGGGCGGCTTCCAGCTTGGCGTTCAGGGGTCAGTCCTGGCAGTGCTCAGGGGACCACCGCGATTAAGCCTGGGCACCAGAATTAGCCAGTTGGCTTTCTCCCTGGACTTGCTGTGGTTTGCTGTTGGACAAGTTCGTGTTCTTAATTGCAGGGGGGCGGGGATTGAGTTGGGGGGGCAGCATACCCTAGGGCTCAGGAATGGCCCCCCGGAGGTGCTGAGCGGTGGAACTGGGGTTGGCCGCACCGCAGCAGCACCTTGTGCCTGGGCGTCTCCTCAGCCCGTCAGCCTCTGCTTTCATGGCCAGTCAAAGATTGTTCCCTCAGGGTCCAGAGACTCCTGGCCACTGCCCCGCACCCCGCGCCCTCACGCCGCCCGTTTCCCCGCCCGCAGGTTTGAGTATCTCTTTAATTTCGACAACACCTTTGAAATCCATGACGACATCGAGGTCCTGAAGCGCATGGGCATGTCCTTCGGGCTGGAGTCGGGCCGCTGCTCGCTGGAGGACCTGCGTCTCGCCAAGTCGCTGGTGCCGAAAGCTCTCGAAGGCTATGTCACAGGTACGTGAGGCGTCCCCGGCTGCTTGTCCCAGATGAGTGCCCCGTCTGCCAGTAAGTCCCACAGGAGGAGGACAGAACTGGGTTTGGAGGAGCCCACCCGGCGTTGCCAGGGGGGCCTTGCAGCCTCGGGCGCCTGTGTGTCAATCTTCCGCTCAACCCAGTGCCCTCTTGCCACAGCCCTTCTTGGGGTATAGCGACAGAGCACTACCTTGGGGTGTTTTTTGTTTGTTTTTGGTGACGCACAGTAGTTTTTATTGAAACTTACACAGATGGAAGAGGAGGGGCCCACGGGTTCAACGGGTAGGGCGCTTGGCTTTGCACCGGGCTGACCTGGGTTCGATCCCCCGCACCACATAGGGTCCCCAGAGCCCCGCCAGGGGTGCTCCCTGAGCACCACCCGGTGTGGCCCCAAAACAAAACAATTTCGCTTTCAAAACTAAAAATGTCCTGGGGCTGGAGCAATAGCACAGCGGGTAGGGCGTTGCGTTTTTCCTTGCACGCGGCCGACCCGGGTTCGATCCCCGGCATCCCATATGGTCTCCCAAGCACCGCCAGGAGGAATTCCTGAGTGCAGAGCCAGGAGTAACCCCTGAGCATTGCTGGGTGTGACCCCAGAAAAGAAAAATAAATAAAATTGGCTTCTTAAAAAAAGCTGAAAATTTTCCAAGCCAGAGGCACCTGGCCGCTGCTTGTCCCAGTCCCCTAGCCCTGCCTGCCTCAGGTTTCTGCTCCTCCCGCAGATATCTCCACTGGCCCCGCGTGGTTAAATCAGGGACTGCTCAACTCCACCCAACCCATCTCCAACCTCGACCTGACCACCGGTGCCGCCCTGTCCCAGTCCAGGTAGGTTGGGGGCGGGGGCTCGGGGGTGGGACCTCCAGGCCACGCCCCCGGTCCCCGGGCACTGACCTGCCCGCCCGTGCCTCTGCATTGTCTGCCAGCGTCAACCCAGGGCTCAGCTTGGACGCTGAAGTGGCCTTAGCGACTGGGCAGCTGCTGGCCCCCAACAGCCACCAGTCGAGCAGCGCCGCCTCTCACTGCTCCGAGTCCCGCGGGGAGACCCCCTGTTCCTTCAACGAGGACGACGACGAGGACGACGACGAGGACTCGTCCTCCCCAGAATAAAGGCCGGAGAAAAGTCGCGTGTCACTGTTTGATGCTCCCGTGTGTTCTTACTGCGAGCCCTTGTCTCTGATCGCTTCTGCCCTGGCCTCGGCGCTGCGCGTGTGTTGGCTGGAGATGGGGGCACCGCTGCGGTGGGCACCGGGCGGGCAGGGGTGCTGGCGGCCATCCAGTTGCCCACCCCAGCATCTCTCCTCCGGGGACCCAGAGGCCTCGTGTCCCTGAACTGGCCGCCCGCGCCAAGCTGGTGCCTAAGTGGCGAGGTGGGGGCCACTTTAGCCCCGGTCACCCCCTCCCTTGAGATCATGCCATTAAATCCTGTTGGGACTCCCTGTCTCGGTCCCTTACCCTGGGGCGGCACCAGCCAGGAGGAGGTGGCTGACCGGGGGCAAAGATGCCCGTTCCGGTGGTCCGAGGAGCCCAGGTGGAACTGCTGAGGTTGTGGTCGGGGCTTGACGCTTAAGCTGCCTTAGCTTCGAGACAGGAGCTGACCGACGAATCTAGGAGTGACAGTGATGCCCAAGTGCGTTCTTAGCCAGCACGACGGTGCGTGTTCCCGTTCCTAGGGCGACTTCTGGAAGCCAAACTAGAATAGCGTCTCCTTGTGCATTAAATACTTTGCCAGCACTGCCTTTTGCCAGCATGGTGAACCCGGAGTTTTTCCAGCAAAGGGACTTTTATGTTTGGATCAAAGCTGTGCATTTTGTATCGATGGTCTTCCTCCTCCTCCCCCCGCCCCCTGCACCGACCCCCCAACCCCATTTAAAACCAAGAAACACCTTTCTAGGACTGAGCTGCTTGCTGAGTTTCTGCCATGATTGTTATGACGCCCCCCCCCCCCGCCCCCGGTGTGCAATTTGTGACAGTGAACCAAATGTCGTTACTTTTGTCTTAAAAGTCGATTCCAAGAACGCGCACGGCCATGTTTTCCTGTACGTCACCTTTCACGCACTTTCACTGAGCCACAAAACAGGGCTGAACGGGTTTGTTCTCAGTATTGCTAGCTGACAGGAGAGCCGGACCCAATTGAAGGCCATCGGTCAGTTTATATTAGGGCCATCTCTGGGGTGCCCCTAGAAGTCAGCCCTAGGAAGAGGGGTTCCCGGTCATCACTCCCCTCCGATCACCCCAGCCCTGCCGAATCTGCCTCACGCAGTCCTGCAGGGTTTCCTGCCACTTGTGCAGCTGGGGCAAACCCTGGCGGAGGGTCTGAATGGGTGCCAGGGATGTGCAGTCAGCTGCTGTCAGAACCGCAAAGAACGTGCATTCAGGATCAGGACGAGGATCCATTTGGACTGGACGGGATGACGATGATCGGGTGCGGGGCCACGCGTGCTTGAGCCTGTGCAGCTGTCCACAAGGTCCGAGATGCCACGCACGACAGGTGGGGTGCTTGTGCCCACTGCCCACTCTTCTCTGCCCCCTCTGCTGCCGTGGGCCTCTTTCCTCTCTGCTCCACACCCGGTGATGCTCCAGGGTTACTCCTGGTGCTCCACTCAGGAATCATACTTGATACCTGGCACCATATGGGGCCAGAGATGAACCTGGGTCGGCAGTGTGCAAGGCAAGCACCCTGCAGTCGTCTCCCCAGCTTTTGGGTGCTTTAAATCGGGAAGAATCGGGACTAGGAAAAGCCAGCCTGACCGCCAGCAGTGCCTAGGGTATGAGGGGCCACCGGCTTGCCCAGCAGAGTGCTAGCTTTGTCCAGGATGTCTTCCCAGTGCTCGGGCCATGTCTACTGCTAGGGACGGGGCACTGGAGGAAACGCCCGTTGTCAGCAAGGTGGCCGTTCCAGCCGACAATGGGCAGTTTCTAGGGCTCCAGTCCAAGCAAGGCTTCTGGAAGAAAACAGGGCTAGACCAACCTGTTAGAAGCCAGGCACTGCATCACCAGGTGTGGCACTGAACCCTTTTCCTCATCTCCCACCCCCCCAAAGAGCAAAATCTAGACAGAAGCCCCCAGGGACCTTCTTGAAAGTCAGACTGAAGGCATAGAGGCATGGCTGGCATGCCAGTGGTCCTGCTGAGACCCTCCATGGTCTAAGCATCACTGGGGCAGCCCCAGTAACCCCCAGCTCTGCATCCTTATCCCTGGTAACTCCCAGCTTCTGCATACTCAGCCCTAGAGGTGAACAGCCAACCTGGTTGGCAGAGAGACACTGGGAAGGGTCCCAGGAGCCTATGGAGATGCCCATCCCCCAGTAAGAAGACCCCTCTCCTTCCTCGCCAGCATCACTCAGATCTTGGCAGTCACAGCTTAAAGTGCCAGGCTCTGCCTCACCCCAAGCTGGACTCTCCCGTGAACACTTACATCACAGGTGAACAGGACTTGTCCAAGATGGATCGTCCAAGGATTCGATCCCCAGCATCCTATATGGTCCCCCAGCAACACCAGTACTTTTTTTTTTTTGCTTTTTGGGTCACACCCGGCGATGCTCAGGGGTTACTCCTGGCTCATGCACTCAGGAATTACTCCTGGCGGTGCTCGGGGGACCATATGGGATGCTGGGAATCGAACCTGTGTCGGCCATGGTGGCCGCGTGCAAGGCAAACGCCCTACCCGCTGTGCTATCGCTCCAGCCCCAGTAGTGATTTCTGAGTTCAGAGCCAGGAGTAACCCCTGTGCATCACCGGGTGTGACCCAAAAAGCCAAAAAATAAAAACAATTACAAGAGAAAGGGGCCGCCACCTTTGCCACGTTCCTTGTGGGCCAGATTCAGACTGGAGAACTTTCCCTCTCGGAGACCAAGCCCCTAGCCCCTGACTCACAGATTTCTGCTGAGTTGGGAAAAGCACCCTCAAACCGGAGTCCTGGGATGGGAGGACAGTCAGGGCCCTGCGGCTGCGGAGAGCACAGGAGTTCCGTCCATGTTGGTTCCTGAGCTCTTGGGGGCTCAGCCCAGCCTGGATGTGCTGTGACAAGGTCACGGAGAGGCGGGGGGCACTGCAGAGCGTTTGGGCCACTTGGGCACAGGTGCGCATGGTTTAGCCACACCTGGGGTCGTTCTGGGGCTACTCCTGGGCAGGAATGGTCTGACAGCTGACCACAAGTCTAAGTAGGGTATCAGCGATTTGGGCGGCACGCAGGGGTCATTCGTGCCAGGCTTGTGCCTTCCCTGCACCCGCTCCACCCCATGTGGTGGTGACTTTTCTTGAGCTATGCCTGGTGGTTTCCGGGGCTGACTTGAGTACACGGCCTATTCCATGGGGCTTTGGGTCCCCTCAGGACCTGGACCCGCAGGTGGGGGTGAGTGACCTTGACTTTGTGACCCCAAGGCTTACACACCGATTGCCCAGGGTTCCATCGCTCATTTCTTTGGGCCTCTTAGGGTTTGGGTGGCCCACTGGGTGGAAGCAAATCAGCCCCGTGACCCCCAGCCTGAAGCCTGCCCAGGCTTTGTCTCCAGATGCTAGCACACCTTTCATCAGGACTCCAGCACCTTCCTTGGACCAGGCTCTCCGGAACCTGTTTACAGAGCCCTGATGATTCCTAACTCATGCCTGCAGTGTGCAAGGCAAACACAATACCTGCTGTGCTCTCTCTCTGGCCCCCAAGTCCTTTCTGACCCTCCTGCCATTGGCTCTGACCAAGACTCGGGTCGAGGATCACACGCGGATTCAGGCATTCTGGAAGAGTGCCGATGGGTGTGGTTCCAAAACAAAACCCAGGACCATCGTTCAAATCCACTTTTATTTTCGTTTTCGCTTCATATACAGAAACAGACCTTCTCCACCCACGTTTCTTGGAGTTCTAGTCATTTGATGTTGGCTGGGTAACCTCTTAAATCCCTCAAACCTGGCTGGCATCAAAATACAACAGTTAACCAGTTAATCTAGAAAATATTTACAGAGCACAGCACATGAAGCTTTAGACACTTGGCAATTAAACCACCTAGAAACAGGACATGAACCCCGTCTTCAGGTTCAGAATCAGGTGCTCAGGGCCCCTCGTGGGCACTGTCCCGTTTCAAAGGCAGGTCACTCTGAGGACACTGTGGTCAGGAGGCTCGTCACCAGGTCACCCCAGCGTCAGGTACCACCCACCTCCTCCAAGGTGGGATCCTAATTCTAGAATGGCAGGTCCAGCTGATACGAAATGAAGACAGACGACACGCCCGCAGGTGGGAAGCCTAACGCTTATTATCGAACATTTGGACTTTGAAGGAAAGTCGGCCCAGAAACTTGTCGCGGTCATCGTTGTTCTTTAGGTTGGGCGAGTCCTCGACAGAGCAGTCAACTACAGCTTCAGCGTCCGTGAACGAGGTGTTGAACTGGATTTGGATGGCGACCAATGGCTGCAGGTAATTTGGCTAGAAAAGATGGGAAAACAGACTCGTTCGGATCGGGATGGGAATGAAATGCTTCATCTACGTTTTTATCAGGAATCGGTCTCTTTAACTTCTACCTTATAAAAGGACCTATTTCATAACAAACTTCTGTGACGGTTCCACTGTGCCCAGACTATGTTCTCTAGACCATTTCTGTCGTGACCACAGGAGGCTGTGGGACTCGGGGCAAATACTCTCAGAGCCATCTTTCCATCACAGTCGTCCCAAGTGGAATTTTTCACTCTCAGGAGCAAGAAGAGCTAGGGCAAAGCGGTACAAGCTGCACCTGGAACATGTGACGTGCACAGAAACCGCAGAAGAACCGGGACATGACGCAGAGAACTGAGGTGCAGGCAGGACCCAGCACTGCTATGTGTCCCCCAAAGCAGAAACTGCCCAAGAACCTATCTGCACAGTGGGCAGAGTGCTTGCCTTGCCCAAGGCCAGCCCGGTGGTTCCCTAGCCAGGACCCCATGCAGTACTCCTCCCCAGCCCGCCAAGAGGAAGCCCCCAGCACCACCAGGCGTGGCCCCAGAAACAAAAGAAAAGCAGATGAGGTGCCGAAGTGAAAGTACCGTGGGACAGGCATTTGCCTTGCACGGCCCGGGTTCGATCCCCGGAATCCCACATAGTCCCCATAGTCCACACAGCACTGCCAGGAGTAATTCCTGAGTGCAGAGCCAGGAGTAAGCCCTGAGCATCACCGGGTGTGGCCCAAAAAGCCAAAGGAAAAAGAAAGAAAAGGGACTGAGTGCCGGGGAGGTGAGTAGAAAGGAAGGCTCACGTGCACGCGGAGTGGGGAGGGGTCTGGGATGCAAACAACAGCCGGAACAGCCCCCGAGCGTGCCACGCGCGGCCCCGCATCAAGCCAGAGTCCGGCCGACCGAGGAGGCGAGACACGGGCCGGAGGAACAGGCAGCGGCCACGGCGCTTGCCTGGCACACGGTCCCCCGTGATGGGTCACCCGAGCTCGGCCAGGAGTGATCCCCGAGCACAGAGCCAGACGGAAGCCCTGGGCCCCACCCGATCGGCCCCAACCCCCACTTCCAAAAGAGAAATTAAAGAATTAAGATGTGAGACCCTGGGCCAGAACATGTCTCCCTTCATGACCAAGGAGGAGCCTGCATACAGCCAACCTGGGTTGACTCCTGAGCACTGCCAGGAGTAATCCCTGAGCATGGGCTGGGCTGGAGGTGTAGAAGCTTCGTTGGCCATGGGGTGGCCCTTCTCAAAGAAGTGACACACAAATGGCCGTTCAGGACTCCCAGGCAAGCAAGACTCGAAAACTAAGGCTAATGTGGGTCATGACAGAAAACGGTCGGGGGGGGGGGGGGGGCGCAAGGCCCCCCAGTACGCCCTACATACGAGTCCTGGCATACTACAAGGTCCCCTGAGCATTGCCAGGTATGGCCCACAAGCCCCCCACCCCAAAGAACCAATTCCCCCCCCCAAACTCACAACAAACGAAGAACGTCTACTTACTTGCCGTTTTTTTCCATAATACGGGAAATATTTTAAATTTAGTTTTCCTTCATCAGGAAAACTCACTATCGCTGCCTCTGTCGTGTACTAAAGTTGAGTGAAAAAGAAAAACAAAAGATCATCTTTTAGTCACAAAGCACAACATAAAACGCACCACCAAGGGGACGACACCAAAGAGGAACTTCTATTGGGAGAAACCAAGTCACCCCAAAGGCCTGAAGCTCGTGTTTGAATACCGCTGGGTGTGCCCTCCCAAAGTGATAAAATGTAATACTAATAGTTCATTCACTGAAATAAAAAGGTAAACGCAAATGTTATCAGTATTTATAATCCCATTCATCTGTATTATCGCTAGATTATCTACAGTATTCCTAGTGAGTAGGTCATCTACAAAAATCATCCAACACATTCCAAATAGGCCTGATCTCCTCTTTCCCTTTGTGCTGGTCATTTCTGGGATCTACTGGAAAAGTGGGGGTTCCGGCTGGAAAATGTCAGAAACACAGATGCCACGTGCAAGGCACCCAAGGTGGGGTGCCCTGCATGTCGCCCATTTGGGTCCAGTTCCTGAGCACTGTCAGGAGGGACCCCTGAGCAAAATCAGGAGTGAAAAGCCCTGAGCACCGCCACGTGTGGCCCCTCTAAAACCAAAAACCCCATTAACTGTGTAAACACAACAAAACCCTGGCCTGTTTATTTTATACTCTTTATACACAATTTCTCTTCAGAGCAAGTGAGATGTGCGGGCTCATGGCCGAGACCCAGGTTCCGCTGGACACCACATGGTCTCCCGGAGTGCCGAGGGGAGAGGAGAGTATCGGCCTCTAAGAACCCCTTCAGATGGCGCCCACCCCCCCCAATCACAGAACCAGGGCCAGAGTGCTCGTACAGCAGGGAGAGCTCTCGCTCGCACATGGCCTCCCCGGGTCTGGTCTCCAGCATTCCCCAAACCCCACCAGGAGCCATTCCTGACCGCAGAGCCAGGAGGAAGGTCTGGGCACCACTGAGCGTGCCCCCCACCCACCAAGAGAGAAAAAAAAACCAACCTCCAAAACAGTGGCAGACAGCCAATGGGACAAGGATGTTTTTCATTAATATTTCCCCCAAGTTATTCCAGAAGCACAAGATGCACAAGAGGGGAGCATCCTTCAAACCCCTAAGAGCCCTAAAACTGGCTAAAGAGGGCTGGAGTGACAGGACAGCAGGGAGGGCACTGGCCTTGTAGGCGGTGGACCTGGGTTTAACCCCCGGCATCCTATATGGTCCCCCGAGCACCGCCAGCAGTAATTCCTGAGTTCAGAGCCAGGAGTAACCCCTGAGCACCACAGGGTGACCCAAAAAAGAAAAAAAAATTTGGAGGGTTTAAAAACTCCCCATCTCCCTTTCTGGGTCCCACAGACACGTCTAATCTACGGTCACTGTCACTGTCCTCCCGTTGTTCATCGATTTGCTCAAGCGGGCCCAGTAACATTATGAGACTTGTTATATGTTTGGCATATCAAATATGTCACAGGCTTGCCAGGCTTTGCCGTGCGGGTAAGATCCTCTTGGTAGCTTGCTGGGCTCTCTGAGAGGGGCGGAGGAATCGAACTCGGGTCAGTCATGTCGGCCGCATGCAAGGCAAACACCCTACCCGCTGTGCTATCGCTCCAGCCCATGTCTAATCCAAGTCCACCTAAATACATGGCCCTCCTGCCACCAGGTTTACCAATATAAAACTGACAGTTCCGCCTGGCCGCACCCAGCATCCTGGCCTCAGAAATTTTCATTTGGGAGGACCATAAGGACCATAAGGAGTCATACTTAGGAGGGCTGAAGCACTAGGACAGCGGGTAAGGCGCCTGCCTTGCAAGCAGCTGATCTGGGTTGGAGCCCCTTCTCATATGGTCCCCGTCCCCCCAGAGCACAGCCGGGAAGTGATTCCCAAGTGCAGAGACAGGTGTAAGCTCTGAGCACAGCTGACCCTGGTCCAAAAAACAAAAGGTAACGTAAAGATGATTTAAAATGTCTCCTTCTGTCCACTAGTTCAGACTCTCAGAAAGATGTGTCTATTAGAATGATTGTGTTCCGAGCAGGAGCAAGAGCACGTGTAGGGTGCTGGCCTGGTCTGGGGCCCACCTGGGTTCCAGCCCTGGCATCCCATATGGTCCCCTGCACACCAGCAGGAGTAATTCCTCAGTGCAGAGTCAGAAGTAAGCCCTGACAAAAAGCCAATAAATGATGGTAAGAGAATGACTGATCTGAAGACGGCGGTTTCTGATCTAGGTTTCCTGGCTGATAATGACACAGGAGAGGAAATAAGACCGCTGGTCACACGGGTACACTGTAAACAGGATGGGGAACCACACCCTGCCCGGCTCTTCGTTCTACCCCGTGAGAAATGAGTGTGGCTGTGCAAAGGCATTGGGCCTCACACAAGCAGCAGCAAACATCACCTGGAAGCTTCTTACAGCCAAGCGCCAAGTGGGGCTTCTGCCGAGGCCTGGAGCCAGTACCTAGAGCCCACCCGCCCCTTCTAGGGATCCTGATCCAGCCTCCAGGAATTCTGACGCGGGACTCAACTCAGAAGCCCAGAGCCAGCACTTTCTGCTCAGGCAGAATCCTAACTTGGGGCAAAACGCAGGGCAAAAAGACACTGCACATTTTCCTCACACTCCACCTGTGATTTCAACATAACATTTTAAAGCAGAGACGTCTATGTACAATTGGAGCTGTAATGTGAATGTTTCATATCATGATAAAATCGCAAGAGTTTTTTCTCAGAAAGCTTACCCTCATTGACACGCTTGTGTGAAGGTACACTTGCAGCATGGAAAGAAAACAAAGGAGGTTAGGGGGTCACTGCACCACATCTGGGGAGAGGGAGAGAACAATGCTCTGCATGACGTACAGCAGCACCAGGCTCCAAATCTCAACAGCAGGCAGTGGGCCAGAGAGATAGTCCAGTGGTTAGGGCGCGTGCTGGGTTCCAGCCCGGTACTACACACAGTCCCCAGAGCCCTGTCGGGAGTGAGCCCTGACCATCACTGGGTGTGGCCCAAAACTAAGAACCAGAAAGGGGAGGGTGCGGCGACAGACACAACTGATGTACTATTTTCGTTTTAGATCTTCCTTATTAACAGTATTTAAGATACCATCATTATATAAGGCCAACCCCACTTTTTGTGCAAATTAGGCAAGGAAAAACTTGGAAAATTTATAATGAAGGTATATGGAAACATATATGGATATAAAGTTTAGGATAATTTTTTAAAAAAGAGGTGATTTTAAAAAGAAAGGCTCCCTACCTCCAAAATTGGTAGAATTTTATTATTTTTCAAAGAATACAGTCAGAGATGACTAAAACTGTGACAAGAAAAGATAACTAAAACTCACAGGATTCAAATTTTTAAGAGATAGAAAACAGTTGTCTTATTAATACTAACCTTTTGTTTTAGTGAACAGTGTATCTTTGGATTTCCTTGAGGTTTTAATCCGATTATCTGAAGTTTAAAAAAAAAGTAAGTACATATGTGTATGTACATTAAAACATCACAAAGTAAACAGCAGCACTTCTTTATGCCTGGAAATAATCTTTATATTGGCCCTTACTTTTTATAGGCTAGAACGGACTTTTCAATACTCCCACCTACTGTTTGCCTCGCATGAAGGCGACCCGGGCTCTTATCCCGGCATCCCATACGGTGCCCTAAACCCCGTCAGGAGTGATTCTACCCCGTGTAGAGCCTGGAGTAACTCCTGTGTGGCCCAAGCCCCCATCCCCAAAAAGGGAAACAGAAATGTTTCTTTGGGGGATTTCAGGGACACACCTGGCTATGCTCCGTGTGTCCCCCTGGCTCTGGGCATCAAACCTGGATCACCCCCAAGCAAGGCAAGCTTCCTACCTGTCCTACTACTCGGGCCCTTAGTCATGTCTGATTTCATGATTCATGTAAAGAGGAGAACTGCAGAATTCTAGTTAAGCAACTGCTCTTAACTGTCATGAAGGTGGCAGTCACCAACAAGCCCCTTGTCTCCCATATCCCGCTCAGCCCAGCGGACACAGGCCCGGGAAAGAAGCCCAAAAAGCCTTGAGGTACCACTCACGTCTGTGGAACGCGGTGACCACATCTCCTGTGTGCTGGGTATCGACTCCTCTCTCTTGTGAGGGCATCTGACTGGGGGGAGCACTGGAGCGCATGAGCATTTCGCATGAGAGGGGCCAGAGAGAGAGTACAACGGGGCAGACACCTGCCTTGCACAAGTGTTGCACTGAGTAGCAAAGTGCTTGCCAATGGCTGATTTGAGTGACGCTGTTAAAGAGAAACTTCTTTTCTCTAAGCGGAAGATGAGCAGTTTACATTTTAAGGGAAGTATCTTCGCTAACAGAATGACCCTGAGCCCTTTTAATTCACACAGAAGAGCAGCTGCTCAAATTCGCTCGTGGCTCTACATCAGCCAACACACAATCCTGGAAGCTCTCTCCGCAACGTCGGCAAATGCCGCCCCTTGGATGGCCAACTACGGCCGACCAAGAGCCGCGAGCTGCGAAGCTCTTTTCCTGCTATTATACACACACTGGTTTGTCAATAATGCAATCCTGCCTAAGGAGAGGGAGTGGGATGGGGATTTTGGTGGTGGGAGACGTGCACTGGGGAAGGGACGGCTGTTTCGTCATTGTATGACCGAGACTTAAACCTGAAAGCTTTGTCACTGGTGATTCGATAGATCGATTTATCGAAAAAAAAATGCAATGCTGTATTTTCCTACTATTACATATACATGTACTGTCAATCCTAGCTTTGATACTCTAGACCCAGACAAGGTGAAATCCATCAAATTTCATAAATTTTTCCATGGAACTGTAAATTACAACACTGCATTCCAAGTCGCAGGACCACAGTGCCAGAGGGTTAAGGCACCTGCCTGGCGATGTGCGGTGGTCCCCTGCGCCGCCAGGTGTGGCCCAACCTCTCCTCCAAAATTAAACAAGCCCACTGATGACAAGAGAGAAACCACACATTTTAAAACAAAAAGAAAAAAAGGAAAGGTCGAGCTGTTATATGCTCTGATCCATGTCTGAGTTACATAAAATGTGCCTCGTGGTATTTTTCACCAAACTGACTTCCCAAAGGTCACTGCTCTGTGAGAACACCTATGACACAGTTGACAGCTGAGCAGATGACACAGGGGCGGGAGGGGGGAGATACAGCAATAAAACATGTACATACTCTGTTCATTTTCAAATAAAAGCACGGCCTTCCTCTCGAGAAGCCAAAGTCACCATGAGCACCTGCGGTGCCGCAGGCCCTCAGAAACCTGAGAGGAAAATGGCATGCCGTGTAGACTGGCCCCGCCTGTTCAAAATATGTGTCTTGGGGACACGACGTGTGATTCACCTGCAGTTCATTTGCATACGCTGGAAGGAAACACAAGCAGAGGTAAGTCCACAAAAGATCTTCAACATGACAGGAAGAAACCACCCCTCACACTGGCGCCTTAAAATACTAACTGGGGCTGCAGCGATAGAAAAGCAACCAGGCAGGGTACTGGCCTTGCACACAGCTAACCCACGTTCCATCCCCGGCATCCTATGTGGTCCCCTGAGCACCACCAAGAGTGAGTGCAGAGTCAGGAGTAAGCCCCGGGCATCATCAGGAAGGGGGGGGGGGGGGGGGACCTTGGGAACAGCCAGGCTGACACGGGCCTCAGGAGAGGCAGCACTGGGGCCCCGAGCCCTGGGGCCTCAGTCTCGTGCCCCAAGCCTGGCTTCCTCTGGGTTCCCTCAGCTCTCCCAAGAGCCCGCCTGGAGCATTTCCGAGGGGAGTTCCTCAGGTCGTTCCTGAGGTGTCCCCGTGCACTGATGTCCCTCAAGTTCTCCGAGACACATGTCCAACCTCGCAGCCATTGCCTGGGGCAGGCAGAGGGGCCAGAGGGACTACTTTCACTACAGGCCTGTATGTGGTGTTGACCCTGGCTCACGTACACAAAAATAACTGGAAAAGCCCAAAAAACCTTTGTTTTAAAGTGAAGCAAGACCTTTTACTTCAGAAAAAGGTCAGGCAGGGAGGAAGAGGGGAAATACTCGTGTAAGAGAACTCGGGCTTCTCCAAAGGGAAAAGAACCTAAAAGCACAAACTTCGTGTGTAAGAGCCTAGGCTGGGTCACCAGCTCTGGTGAAAAACACAAAATCTACTTCAGATTGTCAGTTAACTGTCCACCCGCACTTGTCCATGCTGAAAATGACAAATATGACACTTCTGAAAGTAATTTGGAGGGGGGTGTGGGGGGAGGGAAGAGGGAAGAGATCCAAGCCTGGAGCCACTAGGGCTCTTGCCCTGCACGTGGCTGACTGGGTCTGGCCCCTCATGCAGAGCCAGGAGTAAGGCCTGGGCACCACTGGCTGTAGCCCCCCAAAACCACCAAGACCTTCACCATCCGGTACTCATTACTGTACCAGAAAGTCTTCCTTTTACTCACTCCAAACAGAGAAATGTCCTTACGTTTTAGATTTCTCACGATGTCATTAATCAACCCCCTGTAGGTATCTAGATCGCTCGCATTGTATGTGTATTCCAGCGGAGTAGGTGACCTCGGGAATATCGAAACCCCTGAGAGTGAGAGAAAAGGGGGAAGAGTGACCAGCAGTTCCCTTCTCCTCTTGCGCTTAGCCCTCCAAGGAGGTCCCCGGCAATTATCAATAACTTCCCACTACTATGATGACAGCATCTGAAAGAAAAGCATTCCATTTGGAGATCACCTCAAACCATTACGGGATCACAGTGACACCAGAACCACGGCTCAGCGGGACAGGGCTCCCACAAAGCACATGGTCAGTCAGCAGTGCCAGAAGCAACCCCAAGCGTGGAACTGGGAGTAGCCCCTGATCACTGCCAGTTCCATTCATGACACCCCACCCCCAAACCTCCCGACTTCGACATACTGCAAGCATGGTGTCGCATGTATTTGTGTTCTGGTGTTAGGAACCAAGCATGCAAAGCATGTTCTCCACAGTGGAGCTCCACCCCAGACCCAGACTTGACCTTCTGAAACAGTATACGACCTTCAGTGGGAACAGTAACTAACATAGGCTCGAGTCACCAGGCCAGGGCACAAAGGACATTTTGGGTGGCATTTTTCTTCGTTAATGGTGGCCGGGTCCTGGGCTAATTCATTAGCAAGATCCCTGGCCAACATCCGTACGAAGCACGTAAATGCTAGATCAGGCCACGTGGACACGTCTACATGGTGGCCACTAAGGCCCTTCAGAGGTGTTGGAGAGAAAGGACAGTGGGCAAGGCGCTTGCTGGCCTTGCGCCCAGGCGGCTCCGGGTTCAATTCCAAACACCCCATCCAGCTCCCCAGGAATGCAGAGCTGAGTGAAGACACAGGGTCAGGCTCAAGGATACCTCACGACTGGAGGAGCCTGGAGAGGGGCAACGGCCACGCTACCTGGAGTAGGAATGCGGTCTTGGTATTTCGGAACCTCGTCGCTCAGCGTCTGAAGCATCGCCCACATCGTCAAGGTGAAGAGTGCAGCCAGGAACACGTAAAAGACCAGATAGAAGAGCAAGATCAAACCTGGAAAGGAAACAGGTGCGATGAGCTCCACAGACATACGCAAACCGCAGGGCTACCACCGAAGCCCGGGACAGCCCACTGAGCCGCACGGCCGCGTGTCCCAGCAGGACTCACAGCCCTCCTTCATCCCGTCCCAACTGCTGCCACAGAGCAGACTCGCGTTCAGTTCCCAGCACATACAGAGAAGGAAGAGCTTCCCAGTAAGGAATTGAGGCCCTCAGAAAAACGGAAAACTACTGAATTGGGATAAAGCTCCCAAGGTAACTCGATTTTTCTTTTAACTGATAAATACGCAAATTAGTACACGGCCCCATATTTCATAGTCAGAATTATCTGCACACGTGTTAGTATTAAATACTAAGTTGACTTTAAGGAACAGCCGCCACTGTGCCGACGGCAAAGCATGACGATGTCCAATGACTCCAGTTCAGGAAACACTGGCCGGGGTGGGCCCTGCAAGGTGGTGAGAGGCCCAGGCCTGGCGGGGCCAGGGGTCAGGGGAATAGTTTCCTTACTTCCAGAACATCTAAAACAAGTGATTTTTTCCCCCTCAGATCTCTATCTAAAGCTTTATTATCACGGGGCCGGAGCGATAGCACAGCGGGTAGGGCGTTTGCCTTGCACGCAGCCGACCTGGGTTGGATCCCCGGCATCCCATATAGTCCCCCAAGCACCGCCAGGAGTAACTCCTGAGTGCAGAGCCAGGAATAACCCCTGAGCATCACTGGGTGTGACCCAAAACGCAAAATAATAATAATAATAATAATAATAATAATAATAATAAAGCTTTGTTATCAGAAGCAGTTGCCAGCAAGATCATGTGCTGAAATAGTGCCACATGTTTGTAATGTAATGTTTAAAAACTGACAGCCCCTGCCAAGGAAACAAGATGCATAAATGAAGAACATTTCATTCCCTTCAGATCAATCAACCACAAACATTCCCAGCCCAGGGGCTGGAGCGATAGCACAGCGGGTAGGGCGTTTGCCTTGCACGCGGCCGACCCGGGGTCGAATCCCAGTATCCCATATGGTCCCCCAAGCACGGCCAGGAGTAATTCCAAAATGCAGAGCTAGGAGTAACCCCTGAACATCGCCAGGTGTGACCCCCCCCCAAAAATGCAAAAAATTCCCAGCCCAAGCAAGGACCCACAACCCCTGTCAGAGCACATCTGTGATTTCCAAACTCCTGTCTTCTATATACAGCCACTTCCCCTCCAGAATGTGCTGCCATGACTCCTAACTTCCTTCTGATCCTCAAAAGGCCCAACCACAAACTCCCAAAACAGGTTTTCCCAAAGCTGAAACTCTAACTTGCCCTTTCTTTGGGGGAGGGGGGTCACCAGCAATGCTCAGAGGTTACTCCTGGCTTTGCACTCAGGGGACCATATGGGATACCAGGAATCGAATCTGGGTCAGCTGCGTGCAAGGCATACGCCCTACCCGCTGTACTATCACTACTATCACTCCGGCCAACTTGCTTCTTAATCACAGGTAAGGAACTGTTTTCCCCCAATCCACCCCTTCAAGGAAAAGCAATTTCGTCCAGACAAGCATCCTTCCTGTACTCCCCACCCCACCCCCCAGTTACCAGGGGGATGGGAAGAAAGAAGCACCTGTCCCATCCAGACCACGTCACCTTCCTACCACACATTGTGATCCTGCTGCAGAAAAGGAAAAGGAAGACCCGTTTCCAAGGAGTGCTCCTGACACTAGAGCCAGAGAGTGACGCGGCCCAGGCCCAAGGTTGATGAGCTAAAGCAGGGAAATGTTCTTTCAGATCAGGACTTGGCAAGCACGAAATCCCCCACTCAGCCCACTGGGGTTGACAAATTTGTAAGTTTACCAATTGGGGGCAGTGTCCCAATAAAACTTTCACTGGCGGAAGCCAGAGTAGCTTGTGGGTGGGTGGATCTAGTCGATATGAAACTGGAGAAATCATAAAGGTTTAATTCTTACCAGTATTTTCAAACTACCTCAGAATATTCCAAGGCAGGCCTTGGCATCTGATTTGGAAATGTCTAGGAAAATAATAAAAATGCAACTCAGGCTCAAAACACTTGGCTGTGCATATGCCAAGGTCCACCACAAAACAAAATCAAAAAGACGAAGAACAGTTACAGTGAAAGCGAAATGTCAAAACTTTCTGAACCATGTTCATAAAACAGATGTAGAAGTTAATAGTCACGTCCCTGATTATCAGGATAATCTGATTCCATGAACACCAGTGATCGTTGATTGAACTTTAAATATAGGAAGTACAAACACAAGAAATTAAGCAATTTCCACCCCTGGAATTGTTTCCTGAAACTTTTTCCTTTTTGAATGAGCTTTCTGCCAAGTTCCAAACCTGCTATTTAACAGGTCAATACTGGACCATTGTTAGGCTCAATATCGGGCCTCAAATAAGTCCAGAGCTAGGAGCAGTATCCAAGGCAGGAGTTCTACCCGCTGTACCATCACTCCAGCCTCATCAATCTCTTTTCTATTAAAACAAATGTAAATCCTACCAGAAAGGAGAGGAGAGTACAGTGGGCAGGGTGCTTGCACTGCTCGTGTCCAAGAGGGGTTAAATCCCAGGCACCCAGAGCCCCACCAGGAGTGCTCCCTGAGCACAGAGCCAGAAGTAAGTCCTGAGCTCCCAGCTGAGCTGGGTGTGGCTTAAAAACAAACCACCACCAAAAACTCTAAGCAGAAGATAAAGACACAAGTGGGCAAGTGCCCCTCTGATAAGGGACGAGGCTCACCCTTGCTGACAGCACCCCCCACCTCATTGGTGGGGGTGGAAACTGCCAACGTGCCCTTCGGACTCCCTGTTAGTGGCAGTAGGAAAGCAATCACCCAACCCAAACTGAAGCACTCTATCCCCAAATTCCTCAGCTACAAACCAGGAAGAATGAACGTCAATGTCACTGACTTAAAAAAGGAACAGTTCAGGGGGCAAGACAGAGATGAGAAGAACTGCTTTGGCCTGTGGCCCAAACCTCCCCCCAAAACCAAGTAAACAAACATTAAAAAAATCATGTGTTGGCGCATATGCTGCCTGAGCCCACGTGGCACGTGCCGCCCGCATCTCCCCTCTTGAGATGTGGACCTTCGTGCTTTCGTGTCTAATGCTAGGATGTGTGTCGGGGCTCCCTCCGCCCTTGGAGAAGCCGTGTTCTCTCTCGAGTACGTTACTCTCTCTCCACACCTAAAAATCCTCCAAATAAAATCCATTTACTCCAAAAAAAAATCCTGTATTTGAACTCTTAGGAAACACTGATATTTTAGAGCAGCCCGAGGTAGCTAACGCGGTCAGTACCAAAAAAGCACGATCAAATATCAAATATAATGCTGCCTCTGGCAACTCTGCTTCTGTTTGGAGTGAACACCCCAGTAGTGCTCAAGAATCACCATTTGGCAGAGTTTGGGGGAGCCACATGTGATGCCAAGGATCAAACCTGGGCTCTGAAATGCGAAACATGCGCTCGAGCTCGCAACACGGTCCAGCCCATGTGGTGCTGGGGCTCCAGCCTGGGCTCCCCTATACAAAACACCTGTGCCTGTCCGTGAAGCCCTTTCCATTCCCGAACTCTGGTCTGTAAAAATCCAAGAAGGCCAGGGAGATACAGGACACTGGGTAAGGCACTTAGCTTGCCTGGATCTCATTCTCTCTCCCGCGAACTCCACACAGGCAGGAAACCCAGGGTTCGCTCTCTGGCACCCCCGAAGACTGCCAGGAGTGATCCTTGAGCACAACTGCATGTGGTCACACCCCCCCACCCTGGCCAAAAATATCAGGACGGACAAGTTTAAAGTCTTCCACTTACTTGGGGTTGGAGAGAACTCAATGGCCGAGTGTGGGCACGAGCATTCCTAGACCCCCAAGGTTATAGTCCCTGAGCACCACTGGACATGCCTCCCCCAAGAAAATTAAAATGGCTTTCAGTGGGGCCCAGAGATAGCTGGGTCAAGCACACGCTTTGCATGTGGGAAGACCAGGTCTGTCCCCAGCACCGCGTGGTTCCCAAGTATCACCACTGCTGAGAGCAGCTCCTGCACGCTGCCGGGCTCCCCCACACCCCGCAACACACCTGAAACGCTAAACAATTCTCACAAAACTTGCTTGTGAAGGCAGAGCTCATGCACCTCGCTCATCTGGGAACTACAGTTCTAACTGCAACGATGAAACTTTCTGAAACTACTCCACAGCCCCAGTAACACAGTTTTTCGTTCTGGTTTGGGGGTCACAGCCAGTTCTCAGGGCTTCCTCCTTACTCTACTGCTGGTCCAACAGCGTTTCTTTTTTTTCCATCGAGCTTTTCATTTGTTGTAGGTGATACATCACAAAAGGATGCTTGCTATGATTATAGGGGACTTGATGATCTGACTTGTTCGTTAGTATTGACCATTACAAACTTTCAGGTTCTCAGGGATCCCCCTGTGGCAGTGTTCAGGGGAGCAGATGGGCAGCCAGAGATCAAACCCCAGGTTGGCTGTATGCAAGACAAGCATTCTACCCTCTGTCCTACCTCTCCAGCCCCAGCGCAAGGGCTTTCAACAGACTGGGCGTGAAGAACAAACTAATTTGCGTTTCCCTAATGAGTATTTAAATCAGCTAATATAGCTGATTTAAATAATCTGGTTTTAAGTTACTTCCACCTCCTGTGGGCGACTGCTGATATTTTGGGCCATTTTTCGTAATTTGGGGGACTATGCCCAGGGTCCATAAGATGCCAGGGATCAAATGGGAGTGGGGGTTACTGCGTGTCAGCCTCATGCAAGGCCAACACTTGATCTCCTGTAACTCCGTAACACCTTAACCCCCCTTTCCCAGACCTGTCCGTTCTTAAATTGGGTTCCTTTCTCATTTTTTTGACTGCACCATAGTTCCCTGTATCACACACGAAAGCAAACGGACGGTGGCCCGCTCCCATTCTGCGGGTTCTTTTCATTTTCATCCGAATGCCCACACTTCTTGTCTGTTCGCTTATTTCCACTCTGCCTGTGTTCCCTCTC